CCACCTGAACAACTGTAGAAACATTCTTGAATTTAAAATATCTTTCATAACCTTCAGCATAAGGAACAGATGAAGCACTGAATGCTGGCAAAGAACAAAGTTTAAGTACATTTGCTTGGCTTTACAATCTGGCTGAGAGTATTAATTTAAGGAGTTTAAAACCTTCTAGAAGAAACATAGTAAAATGTTTTCTTTTGTCAATTTAAAATATGGTTATAGACAGAACAATCCCTGTGGAAAAAAAGTGATTCCATTCTCGTTCTTTGGCATGACCAATTTTCATGTATTTACAAATATAGAAATGGCCTTTTGCATTGGGATATATTTGATCCAGAGAATAAAATAGTTAATTTTACCAAACTGTTCTGCCTTGGAATAATCCATGCCTTTGAGTGGCACAAGTTTCCCTTAGCAACTATCTCTGCTTAATATGGAAATGGAAGCAGCACTGTTTCCAATTCATTTTCATTAAGATAGTGATTCTGTGATGTATGTGTTTAGAAATGGACAAAAATAATGACACCACCATGCATTTCTCACAGGCCACTGAACTACAATTAGAAAGTAATGGACTTTCATCCCTTACTAATCTGGGCCACATTCAAACCCAAAAACTGCAAATGAAAGGTTTCATACCCCACAGCCAGTCAGTCCTGTGTGTGCTAACGGACAGATTTCCAAGAGTTCAGCTACACCGAAGTAAGAGGCAAGATTTTCAGCAGTGGCAAGCACCCACAACTCCAACTGAAGTCAATGGGAGTTACAGGTGTTCAATATTTCTAAAATTCAAGCACTACAGGACAGATTTTCAAGTGCTCAGCACCAACAAATGGGCCAGCTTTTCAAGAGTGCCCGGCACCCAGCAGCTCCCATTGTGACACTCAGTATGCTGAGTTCTTTTGATAACCTGGCCATTTGTTTTTGGCACATCGGTGAGCGTTGAGCTGAAACTTCTGAAAAAAATCAAAGTTTTACATGACTAAATCCTTAAGATTGATTGTTATCATGTAGATAAACAAATCATTTACATATATGATTGGCACATCATCTTTTCCTCTTAACTGAAGTTTTTTGGAAAATCTAAAATTTTAAATCAATAATAAACTTAAATTCTTAACCAGTAGAACTTTAAACACAAGAAAAACGAGGAGTAATGGTCTCAAGTTGCAGTGGGGGAGGTTTAGATTGGATATTAGGAAAAACTTTTTCACTAAGAGGGTGGTGAAACACTGGAATGCGTTACCTAGGGAGGTGGTAGAATCTCCTTCCTTAGAGGTTTTTAAGGTCAGGCTTGACAAAGCCCTGGCTGGGATGATTTAACTGGGAATTGGTCCTGCTTCGAGCAGGGGGTTGGACTAGATGACCTTCAGGGGTCCCTTCCAACCCTGATATTATATGATTCTATGAAAAATCATATCTCCTAACCCCATATGACAATGACTTAAAACACAAAACACACATCACAAAAAAACCACTAAGTCCCTCACTCCTCCCAGTCCTAAACTCTGTGTGTGTGTGTGCGCGCATATGTGTGCGCGTGCATTTTGAAATGCAGACCTGGAGGTAATACTACTTAAACAGAAGAAACATGATATACTATGCATTATATTACATAATCAAACTATCTATTCTATATTTTTAGAGTCACAATATAGCAAACATTTCTTAAGGGATATAATGCTTCCTAGCGAGAAAAGTTGCAAGTAACTATCCAAGGTATGGAGCAAGGCACTTAGAAATGTTTCCAGTATTGGTCTTAGATTTCTCTCTCATTCATATGCACACATGTGCGAGCTCACACTTTTCTTCAGAAATTCTTGCTGGGAAATTAAGAGATTTTCTCTTCATATGTATTATTACACAAGCTTTAATTACATGATCACATATATAAATTGCAAGTTCCATTTTCCCCCAAACTTTTTGTTAAGTGAACTTTGTAATTAAAGAAAAAAAAACCTATGCACATGTCACATAAGTAAACATGGTTTTAGTAATCAAGTATTTAATTAACTTTTGGATGGCTACAGTAACCCCACCTGATGTTTATCAAGAACTGAAATTACACCTTCACCCATTTCTCCATAGGAATGGGCTGCTTGATTTTTGGTCTGAAGTTTAGAAGCCAGTTGAGTTTTCAATTTAACTTACTAGTAGACACCCATGTCTTTTTCACAGGATCTAATTTGGGAAATTTCTGTTGTAAATCTCAACAAACAGGCACAGAAAGTTTATTTTACCCTGAGATAGGTTACCGCAAACATTATGAAGAATTAATTCCAGTTTTAATAATTGTCTTTCCTCAGATGTTCTCCTTCCTGTAATCATATAATTATTTTACCGACTAATCCAAAATGTAAACAAGTTTGAACCTACCTTTTAAAAAAATATAAAGGACTAAAGAAAATAATGTTAAGTTAATCTGTTTTCTTTAAGTTCACACACACAGCATAACAACCACATACCAAGTGGTATGCATTTTCCCCCCACCCCAAGTTCAGACTTTTTGTTTTGATGTTCAATATTGTGATCACTTGGAGTTGATGGGTAAATGGTGTTGGATATGGGGGGGGGGGGGAAGGAGAAGGGGGGAAGTAATTCAGAAGCCTCTGACAGATTTAAATACCTGTAATAAAAGGTTAAAAACAGAACAAGCCCTAAATTTACAGGGTATAATTTAATTCTGGTCTGCAACTTTCTATGTTCCTGAATTCTTTTCTCCACAATGCCCCCTACTGCAAGTTTGCAAACAATCAACACAAAGGCTAATCATTTCTAAATAAGAAAAGGAGTACTTGTGGCACCTTAGAGACTAACCAATTTATTTGAGCATGAGCTTTCGTGAGCTACAGCTCACTTCATCAGATGTATACCGTGGAAACTGCAGCAGACTTTATATACACACAGAGAATATGAAACAATACCTCTTCCCACCCCACTGTCCTGCTGGTAATAGCTTATCTAAAGTGATCATCAGGTGGGCCATTTCCAGCACAAATCCAGGTTTTCTCACCCTCCACCCCCCCACACAAATTCACTCTCCTGCTGGTGCTAGCCCATCCAAAGTGACAACTCTTTACATAATCAAGTCGGGCTATTTCCTGCATAAATCCAGGTTTTCTCACATCCCCCCCACCCCCATACACACACAAACTCACTCTCCTGCTGGTAATAGCTCATCTAAACTGACCACTCTCCAAGTTTAAATCCAAGTTAAACCAGAACATCTGGGGGGGGGGGGGGGGAAAAACAAGAGGAAACAGGCTACCTTGCATAATGACTTAGCCACTCCCAGTCTCTATTTAAGCCTAAATTAATAGTATCCAATTTGCAAATGAATTCCAATTCAGCAGTTTCTCGCTGGAGTCTGGATTTGAAGTTTTTTTGTTTTAAGATAGCGACCTTCATGTCTGTGATTGCGTGACCAGAGAGATTGAAGTGTTCTCCGGCTGGTTTATGAATGTTATAATTCTTGACATCTGATTTGTGTCCATTTATTCTTTTACGTAGAGCTCCACACACCACCAACAACCACATACCACACAACAGAACCACTAACCCAGGAACTTATCCTTGCAACAAAGCCCGTTGCCAATTGTGCCCACATATCTATTCAGGAGACACCATCACAGGGCCTAATAACATCAGCCACACTATCAGAGGCTCGTTCACCTGCACATCCACCAATGTGATATATGCCATCATGTGCCAGCAATGCCCCTCTGCCATGACATGGTCAAACTGGACGTCTCAAAAAAGCCGGGGGGGGGGGGGGGGGGGGGGGGGGGGGGGTGATTTCTGGCCAGGGTTTACAACTACTACTACTACAACATTTTTATTGTAATAAATATTCTATTCAATTAAAATCCTTAATTAAAAATAATTAATTAAAAAAGGCAGACAATGAATATTCCTTGCCCGGCACCTTGTCCACCTCAGAGTTTAAAAGGCAGAAAGGACCAGCAGATCATCTAGTCTGACCTCCTACATATAGGACCCTACCAAATTCACCGCTATGAAAAACGCGTCACGGACCATGAAATCTCGTCTCCTCCCGTGAAATCTGGTCTTTTGTGTGCTTTTACCGTACACTACACAGATTTCAAGGGGGAAACCAGTGTTTCTCAAATTGGGGGTCCTGACCCAAAAGGGAATTGCCGACAATGCCATACCATGCCATGCCATCCTCACTTCTGCATTGCTGCTGGTGGAATTCAGCAATCATATGATTAGGCCCAAAAGATACCTTAGAAGATTATTTTTCTAGCTGTTTTCATAGGTGAACAATCTTTATTACCTTGTGGAAGTAAAGAGGATACTCCGACAAAGCCATAACATTTCTGAATCTGCATTTTTAGTCATTCTGTGGTCTTAAACAAAGGGCTCGATCCTGCCACCATTAATAATCCATACATAAAGTCCAACTAATTTTATTAGCATCAGGGTCAAACATAGTTGTTTTTGACACCATTATTACAGCAGCATTATAGGTTTGCTAGAGTAGCCAATTGTTATGCTAGTTGTGATGCCAATCATGCCCCAAGTGTTTCTCTAAGGCTTTGTCTGTACTGAAATCAGGGCAGATTTCTAGTAACTGATGTAGCTATATTGGTACAAACTTTAAGGACAGGCAAGCACAGCCACAATTTGTGCACCAGAGCATATCCATGTTTGAAACCAGGGCTCCACCAATGCAGATTTCAGTTTACTTTGTCTACACTTAGGGTTTACACTGGTGTGCCTATCAGTGGCTGGTCAACAATTGCTGGAAGACAAGGCCCAAAATTATAGGGGAGGGGGAAAATTGCTCCAAGAGATCCAAATGGCTAACCATTTAAAATGTCTGCACCAACTTCATATTCATTTTTTTACTGACTGAGAAACACTCTTCCAAGTATGTACAGGTATTAATCTCAGAATTAGTAAAGGAGAGAGATATCTGAGCACACAGTACATTACAGTTTAAAAAAAAGTTATGCACTTCGGTCTGCTAAAATACTTACCTACGAATCCCTGCAAGAATATTATTCACAGCTGCCATCAGTTTCTGCAGGCCTAAAAAAGCTTCTTCAAATGAAGAGATCTTTGCAGTGGTGGAAGTGATTATATTGTGATCCAGCTTCTGGAAAATTTCAGTACTAAGATGAGGGCAAAAACAAGAGAAAACATTCTATCAGAAGAAGGTCACTAAAAACAGACTTTTTTTGCCTTGTATCATGTGAAACAAGAAATGCATCACAAATACTATATTTTGATTACCATAGACAAACACATGCACATTGTCTCAAAAGGTCAAATACAAATGTCAGGTACATCAGTGTTGTCCAAAACACACACACAGGAGTACAAAGTTTTTATTTTGTTTGCATGCATTTATTTTAGATAAGGTGCTTAAACAGGTAACAGAAGCCACCAATTGAATTGTTTTGTAAGTTAAAAGGGTAGATTTCTGATCACTTATTGTTACTTTAATAAACAAATGTCACATTGACATAGGATGTTCCAGCTGAGGCTTTCAAAACACTTTACAAAATAATGAAGAGCCACATTCCTGTGAGTATGGAAAAGACCCTGGAGTGGGTATGCAAACTGCTAACTGAAGTGCTAGTCCCAGTTTCTAACCAGGAAGCTATTCTCACTATTTAATTTATAATTATTAGTCAACCACTCTATGGCAGAGACCTTAAATTGTCAAGAATTAGTCTTTAGCACGTTTTGTAAAGTTGAATTATAAGAGAAACTGTAATAGCACTCTACAAAACCCTTCCATAAATAAAAAAAATTTGACAAAATGAAACAATCCTTCTTTTTAATTTTTCTAAAAAATTTAACAGATATCTTTCCTTACAGAGTATCAAACATTCTAGCATAGAAGTAGGACCAGATTTCAGGGTTCATAACATGTTTTTAATGGCTGTGACTTTGGTAGGGCCCTCATATAAGTATAGCCTTGTATCCGTTTCTGAAACTTGGGGTCAAATTTTCACGTGGGTCTCAAAATGCAACTCCAAAATGTGCAGACACACACATTTTTGATTTGTGCAACTGGAGCAGCAACAGACGCCAGATATGGATTTTCAGATATCTTGTTTAAAAATTCAACCATTAATACACTTCTTTATAAACTGCAGAGACCAAGAACTTAGTAAGATTTAAAGAACAGTTGGTCATTTATATAGATAAATTATAATACCTAAGCCCCAAAAAAAAAAAAGTGAAAGGGAAAGCCTCATGTCTGAGTTTAAGCCAATCTTTATTAGGGATTAGGAGGAGATCTTCCTGTAGAGCAGACTACCCCACATAAACCTATTGTCAGGTTCTTGCATCTTACTCTGAAGCATCTAGTGCTGGATAACGTCGAAGACAGTATACTTGGCTGATGGACCATGGCTCTGATTCAATATGGCAATTCCAATGTCATTACTAACACATTCAAAACTAGAATGTATGATTTTTTTCCCCCTAACCCATGTACATCACTAATAGGACAGCCTTGTAGGGAAAGGCAGACAGACAGTTTCCATAAATAAGTGTGTGTTTGTGGAAATCACACGAAACAACCAATAGCATGCAAAATCCCCCCAACCCTTTCAGCACTTTGTACCTGTACAGGTTTATTGTATTCCAAATGCTTTCAAGGACAGACCAGATTTCCTGATGTCTTTTATCTTGGGACAGCTGAGTGTTTGACAATGACTTGCCTTCCTCACACGTTTGCAGATGCAGCCTCACATCTTCCTTTTTTGAACCTGCAGTGTTTTCTGAAAGAGCTGTCAGGGCTTCTGATGATTTTTGTCCACTGTCTGACTGAACCTCATGAAATAGACAACCATACAGTGTTGGAAAACTAAAAAAAACCTACATAGGAATTTTTTTTTTTTTTTAAATAATCAATGTATCTAAGGTACTGGTACTTGTATGTCCTCCATCACCATAGCATCTGAGATCCTCACAATCTTTAAATGAGAGAACTCAAAATGTCCCTGTGAGGCAGGTCAGTCTTCTTATTCCTATTTTACAAATGGAGAACTGAAGCACAGAGAGGCTAAGTGACTTACCCAAAGTCACACAGGAAGTCTGTGGTGGAGTCTCCCAAGTCCTAGGTTAATGTCCTAACCACTGAACTATCCATGTATAGTCAATCCATAGAAGACTCCAAAGCTGAATTTGCAAATTTTAACCCACGCCTTCCCCCCCAAACATAGCTCATTAATGCATAACAGAAGTGTTTCATTCTGTTTAATCTTCACTTAAAGATGTAAAGCACATGATTGTCACAGTAAAAGAATTTCAACACTCATTACAAACCAAGGACATGGAATTTCTTTCACACTAATGCCAGATACTCGACAAGTTATTCTGCAAAGCGAGGATTTGAGGGCATTTTACATATAAATTACTACATTAAAAACACCACAACAGGCTGTGGTGTGTACAAATATTGTCTTTGTCTGTAAAAATGGGGATACTGAGAAGAACTGAAATGATTTCAGTAAGGTCATCGTTACAGGGCTTTCCCTTCACCCTCTCCCCTGGTTCTTGTCATGCAGACAGAAAGCAGAAGACCAGAAGTCCGAAGTGCAGGCAATGCAATGTTTATTGGGGTTAGTTCCAAGCAAGCATATCCACAGCTCTACATGCCAGCAGAGTCTGTTTCTTAGCGTCCTCCTTCCCAAGCCGCAGAGCTTTGCCTGTGTCCCCGTTCCCCATTACCACCTCCTCTTTCTTAGCAGGCCCAAATATACCTGCAATGCATGCCCTCAGTCTCACCCCTTACAATTTATGTTCCGTTTTGGGGGGTGTCAAGGTTCCTTCCCCACTCTGAACTCTAGGGTACAGATGTGGGGACCTGCATGAAAACCTCCTAAGCTTACTTTTACCAGCTTAGGTTAAAACTTCCCCAAGGTATAAACTATTTTACCTTTTGCCCTTGGACTTTTGCTGCCACCACCGAACGTCTAACCAGTATTATTGTTAGGAAAGAGTCCGTTTGGAAACATCTTTCCCCCCAAAAAATCCTCCCAAACGTTACCCCGCCCTTTTTGGGGAAGGTTTGATAAAAATCCTCACCAATTTGCATAGGTGACCACAGACCCAAACCCTTGGATCTTAAGAACAATGAAAGAGCATTCCGTTTCTTAAAAGAAGAATTTTAATAGAAGAAAAAGTAAAAAAGAATCACCCCTGTAAAATCAGGATGGTAAATACCTTACAGGGTAATCAGATTCAAAACACAGAGAATCCCTCTAGGCAAAACCTTCAGTTACAAAAAAGACACAAAAAACAGGAATCTACATTCCATTCAGCACAGCTTATTTTTCTCAGCCATTTAAAGAAATCAGAATCTAACGCATATCTAGTTAGTAAGTAATCCAAGTTCTAAGACTCCATTCCTGTTCTATCCCCGGCAAAAGCATCACACAGACAGAGAGAGAGAGAAAGAGACTTTGTTTCTCCCTCCCCCCAGCTTTTGAAAGTATCTTGTCTCCTTATTGGTCATTTTGGTCAGGTACCAGCAAGGTTATCCTAGCTTCTTAACCCTTTACAGGTGAAAGGGTTTTTCCTCTGGCCAGGAGGGATTTTAAAGGTGTTTACCGTTCCCTTTATATTTATGACAAGGGGGTTGTGGTCTGGAGTCTTCATCCCACCTCTTTTGGACCCCATGGGAGGGGTAAGGAGTGAGATTGTGTTCTGGCCAAGGCCAAGCTTTTATTTGGCCGGTAGTGTTTCTTATGCCTCCTCCCATCCCCATCCTAACTGGTTGCTTGACCTTGGCTTGAGAAAGGAGCCAGGCAGCCTTTCAGTGTATGCTCATATATTACACTTCCACCATACCCTGTAACACTTTAGCACTATCCCTCATCTTTTCTCATTGTAGTAAAAGCCCCATCTGGTTGCGGGAAATGCAACACAATGTCTTTGTTAATTGTTCTTCACTCTTATATCTTATACTAATATGTGTATCAAAAAGTCAAACCCAAAATTTTATCTCAGGCTGATAAACAAACCTATATACTAACCAGTCATACTGAACCAGTGGCAAACCTAGGAATAAAAACCCTCTAGTTTTAGAGCAGGGCAATAAAAGTTAAAGATGACAAATTTAGCAGGGGAAAATAAACAAGCAAACAAAAAAACACCCAAGTGATCCATGGTATTGGGTTGTGTAATTCATGCAAGACTACCTTCAGATAACAATTTTGCAGACCGAGAAAGGAAAATGAGTTGCTCTAAAAGCAAAGTAAGGTCAGAAAAAACTCTTGCATCTACTCTATTTAATGAGCTTTAAATTTCTATAATGTTAATCATGCCTAACTTGAGTCCAACGATTTATTCATATATAGAGCATACTAGATAAGGGCTCAGGAAAAACTCATTACTGAAGAGAACTTCGGTAATCAATTATGTATTTGACAGGGAAAATAAAACAACTCATGCAGATACTAAGGCACTCCCATTCTGAAGTGTAGGAGACAGCAATTGCTGTTCCAATCAATTAGATTGCCTTTCCTCATTTTATACTGAATAACTAGCAGTGTCCGCCAAAAAATCTTCAGGTAGCAGTTTGAAGACTACCTCTCAATAACCCAGTAGCAAAACAAATAAGGATCTAAGGAAAAACAGCTCATGTTGTAAAAATATACAAAAAACCAACAGCCTCTTTTTGATCTCCTTGGGACCCTGGCTAGGCTAACTGGCTCAAAGTTACTACTTCCCTATAATACGGCTTTTTGTTTTGTTTAAAAAAAAAACCTTTCCTCTGCCATGACCTATACATTATTTTTCATCCTTAGCACCAGAATAAGAATTACCAGAGCTTTTAATTGGGCAGTCCAACAACCACCAAGTATAATGTGTCATCTTTCTGCTTTCTTTCACCAATTTTTATACTTGAGTGGAAAGGGGAATTAGACATTCCGGATTTCTGAAGTGCACAAAAGAGAAACTCCACAACTGAATCACAAACTGAGTTGTCAGGAGGAGGAGAGGTGCACCTCAACCTACACAGACATATTCACAAACCAAGTGAATCTTACAAGATCATTGTAATTAGAGAAAAAAAGATTGGAATTGATGATTTAATAAATCACCTTCAAATGCAGGATAACAGTTATTAATTTGATATGATGTTCAATCTTTATCAAAAAGCAGCAGTATGCACTTGCTTTTCAGTCATTCACTTCCTTTTTGAGAGTTAATAGAAGCAAAATTCTGTCAAGGATATTTTTATAAACAAAAAGCCCTCACTTTTGTTATGGGGGCAGGGTTACATTTGGGACGCACCACTTATGACAATATCCTGTTAACCCCCACCTAGCACTGTTTACAATATTTTTTTTGTCATTATAACAAAGAACTAGAAAATCCTTAGTAAGTTTGTAGTGTCAATGATTGGTGACACTAAAATTTCAGTTAAGCCATAGTTTTAGTGTAAAAACTACGTACATTGACGTGCAGCTTACCTCTGCAAGCATCTGGAGCAGTTTAGTCACATAAGCAAAAGCCTGTGGAAGTACACCATCATAGTCTGACCTTGAGCTGAAAGCATGCAATAGCTTTTTAGATTCCTGGAGCAGGATGTTTGCTGTTATGTGGTCAACTGTCTTACCTGACATAAAAACATTAAGAAGAAACATGGGAAATCAGTTTTAGAGAAGTAGGCTAGTTTGGTGTTAAAATGCACAAACAGTAAAGGAAAAAACTAACAGTTCCAAACTGAAACCAAGTATAATCACCATCAGTTCTATCATTTCAAAAAGGTATTACAATTATTGTATGAATTAAACATTCTAGGATATCCGTACATATAAAAATAAGTGTGTGTTATTATGTAAGATTATCAAACAAAAAAGGGTCTGAAAATCCTATTGACATAAATGGTATAAGATCAGGTGCTATTGTCTTCTGAGGGTTTAATGCCTGTAGTCAAAGTCCAACAGTAAGCCTAAAAAATAGTTTCAATGTGCTAGCACATCACTAAACTTAAAGTCTTCTCTAGAACACAAACTCTGATGCACTTTACAAACTCTCCTCAATTCAAGGGGCTGAAAGATTGTAAAGTGCTCCCAAGCTCCACTAGATACAGAACTCTGGCTGGAACAGGAAGCTATGTCACACATGCTTGCAATTTTGTTTTTGTGGGTAAAATGAGAGCATGGAGGGAGAGAAGATCATCCTCATCAAATGTTGATCAGGAATAAACCTTGTGTGCCTATGTTAAAAAAATGTAAGAATAAAAATCTAGAACACTGCTGTTTAATGAAAAACAAAACACATTTAAAGACTCATCTACGTTGTTTATTTCAGCCAGTATATGAAATATCTTGGATACAAACCATGAGCATTAAAAAACAAACAAATAGTTTCAGGAAGGAACATAACAAGCAGTGTGTAAGAATAAGACTTTTCATTTTGGATCAAATCACCCTCCATTCAGGATCTGGCATAGGCTCATTAGACATGTCATTGTGAGATAATCTGCTCATAACCTGTGCTAGCACACCTTCTTGTAGGCCATATCCCAGCATAACTATGGATACAAGTACTGAATGGAAAACTACTGCCAATTCATAAAAGCACTGACACTTTCATAACTAAATGCAAGACTCATGTCTTTGACTTAGCTTTCCATCAGTAAGTTCTTCAGAGACACAGCACACCTACACAAATGCCTATAAACTAAACTAATGAAGCTGTTTTTCTTACAAACCAGGAAGGAAGATTTCAAATAGAAATAACAAATACTTGGAGGTACTTGAGAACTCTGGTAACCAAAGCTATATAAGTTTCTTAGATTTGTTGTTCCACTTTTTGGTAGCACGCACATGAAGATGTAATATTTGAAGCGAATCCTATAAATGATTGATTTCAGTCGTGCCTGTTCAAATTTGTTAAAAACAGGAAAAGAGCAGCAGACTATCAAAATATTTAATTAAGGCTGCCAAACAGTCTCAAGAGACAGTTAGCTTTTTTGTAGCTTCTTCAATAAGTGGTAGTGAATCCTTGCCCCATTTTAAGGCCCATGTCTGGGCAGATTTGAGGGTTATGCAGATTCTTCTTTTTGTTTTACTGACAAAGTGTTGTATCATGGATCTTTGGGCTAAAGTTACAAAACACTTGCAAGCACCAAACTCCAATTTTTGCCACACATCTGGCAAAACCATCACATTGTGTGAAAGACAAGAAGGAAGACTACTTCTCCAGGGTATAGTCTCCCTTGAATAATCCACGTAACTCCCATTATTCTTGAATTAAAAAGGAGAAAAAATAAACCCTTTAAATATATACTATATGTATATTTTCATAATGCACACTTAAGACTCCTGTGATTAGAGGGCTTGACCTCAGTGGAGAGAGGTTTATGTTTAGAAGTTTATTACTAAAAAGGAGTCACATAAGATTCTTACCTTTACAAAGATGTTCATGCAGGTATTCAATGGTTGCAAGTAAGCTTCTGGGCACAATATAGCCAAATACGGCCATCCAGTGTTTTTTAAAGCACTGCAGTAAGCTTGCTAGGGTCCATGGGGGCTTCAGATACAGTACCTAAAAGTGAAAAGTTTAAAACTTCACAACCATACAACTTTATCAATGTACATTTCTCAATTGTGCTACTCTTTAATACCAATTGTACATGCTGAAGAAACATCCAAAGCATTCTCAGAAACAAAAGATCAGGTGGATTTTTCCTGGTAAAGCGATTGTATATTACATGACAAACCACAGCCTTGTTCAATTTAGTTTTACTCAGGAGATGTCTCTTACACAGGTACAGACCCTTCTTAAAAGCATTCCAATTAGCATATGTGCACTGCTGTGACTAGGACTATTGAGAGTTTTATGAGGCATTTCTGTGAAGGACATTCTATTTGTACAACACTCAAGATGTACAAGCTCAAACAAGAAGTGTTTGTTCTAGTAACTTGATAGCCCTCAGAGTTCATCTTGTGCAGATGATTATAAAAGTAAAGTAATTAACCATTCCTGCTAGATGAAAATGTTAATTGGAAGACACACAGAGCTAAACAACTGTATTGATAGTCTTCTGGCTATATAGTCAGAATATTTTAGTTCTACTCCGAACTCTGTCACAGACTTCCTGTGTGAAATTTGACAAGACAGATAATCTTTGTGCCTCAGTTTCCCCACCTGAAGGTGAAGGTAGTACTATTTCCCCTTCTCTGGAGGTTTTGGAAAACTTAATGTTTGTGAAGTGCTTTGAGCTCTTGGATACTATGGAACACGGGTACAGCTTGCTCAGGAAGGACAGGCAGAGGAAAAAAGGGAGGAGGAGGTGTTGCCTTACATAATAAATGTATACACTTGAACTGAGGTTGAGATGGAAATAGGAGACAGACTTGTTGGAAGTCTCTGGGTAAGGATAAAAGGGGTAAAAAACAAGGGTGATGCCATAATAGGGATCTACTACAGACCACCTAACCAGGAAGAAGAGGTGGATGAGGCTTTTTTTAAGCAACTAAACAAAATCATCCAAAGCACTGTACTTGGTGGTGATAGGGAACTTCAGCTACCCAGACATCTGTTGGGAAAATAACACAGCAAGGCACAGATTACCCAACAAGTTCTTGGAATGTATTGACACAATTTTTTTATTTCAGAAGGTGGAGACAGCTACAAGGGTAGAGGCTGTTCTAGATTTGATTTTGACAAATAGGGAGGAACAGGTTGAGACTTTGAAAGTGAAAGACAGTATGGGTGACAGTGATCCTGAAATGATACAATTCATGATTATAAGGAATGGTAGGAGGGAGAACAGCAAAATAAAGACAATGGATTTCAAGAAGGCAGACTTTAGCAAACTCAGGGAGGAGGTAGGTAAGATCCCATGGGAAGCAAGTCTAAGGGAAAAAACAACTGAAGACACTTGGCAGTTTTTCAAAGAGACATTATTAAGGGCACAAGAGCAAACTATCCCACTGTGTAGGAAAGATAGGAAGTGGGACAAGAGACCACCTTGGCTTAACCAGGAGATTGTCAATGATCTAATAATCAAAAACATCCTACAAAAAGTGGAAAACTAGGTCAAATTACAAAGGATGAATATCAGAAATTAACACAAGCCTGTAGGGACAAAATTAGAAAGGCCACAGCACAAAACGAGATCAAACTAGCTAGAGACATAAAGGGAAACAAGAAAAACATTCTACAAATATATTAGAAGCCAGATGACGACCAAGGACAGGGTAGGCCCGTTATTCAATGAGGGGAGGAAAAACAACAACAGAAAACATGGAAATGGCAGCGGTGCTTAATGACTTCTTTGTTTTTGGTTTTCACCAAGAAGGTTGGTGGTGATTAGACATCTAACATAGTGAATGTCAGTGAAAATGAGGTAGAATCAGAGGCTGAAATAGGAAAAGAACAAGTTAAAAATTACTTAGACAAGTTAGATATCTTCAAGTCAGCAGGGCCTGATAAAATGCATCCTAGAATACTCAAGGAGCTGACTGAGGCGGTATCTGAGCCATTAGCGATTATCTTTGAAACGTCATGGAAGACGGGAGAGATTCAAGAAGACTGGAAAAGGACAAATATAGTGCCCATCTATAAAAAGCGAAATAAGGACAACCTACAAAATTACAGACCAGTCAGCTTAACTTCTGTACCTGGAAAGATAATGGAGCAAATAATTAATCAATTTGCAAACATCTATATGATAATAAGGTGATAAGTGACAATCAGCATGGATTTGTCAAGAACAAATCGCGTCAAACCAACCTGATACTTTCTTTGACAGGGTAACAAGCCTTGTGGGTCGGGGGAAAGCAGTAGATGTGGTATATCTTAACTTTACTGAAGCTTTTGATACGGTCTCTCATGACCATCTCATAAACAAACAAGGTAAATGCAACCCAGATGGAGCTACTATAAGGTGGGTGCAAAACTGGTTGGAAAACCATTCCCAGAGAGTAGTTATCAGTGGTTCAGAGTCATGCTGGAAGGGCATAACGAGTGGGATCCCGTAGGGATCAGTTCTGGGTCCGGTTCTGTTCAATATCTTCATCAATGATTTAGATAATGGTAGAGAGAGCACACTTACAAAGTTTGCAGAGCTGGGCAGGGTTGCAAGTGGTTTAGAGGATAGGAATAAAATTCAGAATGATCTGGACAAAATGGAAAAATGGTCTGAAGTAAATAGGATGACATTCAATAAGGACAAATGCAAAGTACTCTACTGAGAAAGGAACAATCAGTTCCACATACAAAATGGGAAATGACTGCCTAGGAAGGAGTACTGCGGAAAGGGCTCTGGGGGTCATAGTGGACCATAAGCTAAATATGAGCCAACAGTGTGACACTGTTGCAAAAAAAAAAAAAAAAACACCACACACCACGCAAGCAGACATCATTCTGGGATGTATTAGCAGGTAGCAGGAGTGTTGTAAGCAAGACACTAGAAGTTATTCTTCCGCTCTACTCTGTGCTGATTAGGCCTCAACTGGAGTACTGTGTTCAGTTCTGGGCACCACATTTCAGGAAAGATGTGGACAAATCTGAGAAAGTCCAGAGAAGAGCAACAAAAAAGATTAAAAAGTCTAGAAAACATGACCTATGACGGAAGATTAAACAAACCCAATTTTTTTCAGTCTGGAAGAGAGAGAACTGAGAAAGGACATAACAGTTTTCAAGTACATTAAAAGGTTGTTACAAGGAGGAGGGAGAAAACCTGTTCTTCTTAAATCACAGATGACAGCACAAGAAGCAATGGGTTTAAATTGCAGCAAGGGAGGTTTAGGCTGGACATTAGGAAAAACTTCCTAACTGTCAGGGTGGCTAAGCACTGGAATGAATTGCCTAGGGAGGTTGTGGAATCTCCATCATGGGGGATTTTTAAGAGCAGGTTAGACAAACACCTGTCAGAAATGGTCTAGATAATACTTAGTCCTGCCTTGAGTGCTGGAGACTGGACTAGGTGACCTCTCTAGGTCCCTTCCAGTCCTATAATTCTAAGTTACAGAAGTCCAAAGTTACTGTTAATAAAATATGCATTTTGAAAATTCACATTGAACAACCAGACAGCACATAAATTACTATTAAATGTAATGTTGCACAAACATTACTAGTCAAACAATCATCCCAATATCAAATACATAATGAAATTTAACAATACTCTATGTGAGTGGATGGCTTACAGGATTGGAAATGGGAAGCACGAATCTTCGCTTCTAGGTCATTTGTTCAAATTCCCATCAGGTTAGTAGTGACTAAGTTATCAGATGGCCAGTGTAAAGTGAATTACTGCTCTTAGCCAAATACATATTAGAGAGGTGTCCACATCACAAGAACACCAAAAGGCAAACTCTCAAAAGAGGTGAAGTACAAAATGAGTTTGGAGACTGAATTTCCCTAGGTTGGACTGAGCTACACTAGCAGAGCAGTTGCAGGAGGTGGCAATGGGAGGGAGAAATGCTTCTATTGATGGTGCCTGTGATGTAACTGTCCTATAATTGTTTTTTTTAAATAAATTTAAAAAAAAAAGACTTCATCTAAAATGTTATAATGGTCACACTGGCACCTTGCAATTAAACACACGTTCTACAATGGGTTGTAATTGACAAATGAATCAAACCCTCGTGGTTTAACACTAGAATCCCTAACCAGAACTGTGGCCTTATTGCAACATTACTTATGAATTTATTCTGTATATTTTAAAGAATGTTTCTCATCACATCTCTTTTCCTATTGGTGCATTTTTACATGAACAGTTATCTAGATCTAGATAGATTTTAAAATCTTTCTCAAACTTTGAAACTCTCCTAAGCACAGAAGCAGGGTCACTGAAGAATCATGACAGAGGGCAGCACAATTGGTCAGTTTTGCAGTTTTCAAACAAAGTCTGTTTAAATTTTCATAAGAAGTTATAACTGAAAATGAGTTCAGGGATCAAGAACTGTAATGCAGTTTGAGACATCTTCCACATCATTGTACTATATCAGCCCTATGTGTCATTAACATTGTAATGTAAAAAGCAGACAGATTGAACTTTGAACTCCAAGACAATCTTTAACTTAACATTTGAAATATCAAGCAAATCACCACAAGTAACCACCTCCATCCACAAGTTTCCAAAAGCTATTTTCATTTCAGTTTCTAATATCGAGGATAAAGCTTCTCCTAAACTTTTCTCAAGGTCAGGAACAACGCTTAGGAGTGGAGTAGTAAGGCTGAGATCTTCCTTCTTGGTTTTCTGGGACCCAGTATCTGCCAAGTAAACAGTTACAGTAAGTGCTTTCTTTAGTGCATTATTCATAGAAATTAGTTAGAAAAACAAGTTGCTAGGTTCTGTAATCCAGTCTTTGGATTGTTGCCTACAACATATTTAATATTTTGTCCGCTAGTTGTAGGTCTCCAGCTACAGAGGATTCCATCACTTTACTTCTACTACTCCATGACCAAATATCTGAGCACCTTCCAAGTATTTTAAAATAGAATCAACAGCGTTCATATTTCTCACTCCTTCCCCTCACCCACCACCACCAGAAGGAGAGATAGCATGATTCTTCTCTAGAGTGTTTAAGTTTGTGACTTGCATGTGTGTTGTGTGAAGAGCCTACTGAACTTAAGGGCTGCCATACAAGGTCAGACCAATGGTCCATCAAGCCCAGTACCCTGTCTGACACTAACCAGTACCAGAGCTTCAGGAGGAGTGTACAGAACAGGGCAATTTGATGGATCAACCCTCATCTTCTCCTCCCAGCTTCTGGCACTCCGCAGTTCAGGGTTGCCCTGAGCATGGGCTTGCATCCCTGACCATCCTGGCTAATAGCTATTGATGGAACTATCTTTTTTTTAAATCCAGTTATACTTTTGGCCATCACAACAGCCCTTGGCAATGAGTTCCATAGGTTAGCTGTGCACTGTGTGAAAAAGTACTTCCTCTTGGTTTGCGTTAAACCTGCTTATTAATTTCATTGGGAGACTTGGTTTTTGTACTGTGGGAAAGGGTAAAAAAATATATATATATTTTCTATTCACTTTTTCCACTCCATTCATGATTTTACAGATCTCTATCATATACACCTCAGTCATCTTATTTCAAAGCTGAACAGCCCTAAACTTTTTAGTCTCTTCTCGTACGGAAGCTCATCCACACACTTGATCATTGTTCCTCTTCCATGAATCTTTTCCAGTTTCACTATATCCTTTTTGAGATGGGGTGACTAGAACTGGGAATGGTATTCAAGGTATGGGTACAACATGGATTTACAGAGCGGCACTATGAGATTTTGTCTGATTTTCTATTCCTTTCTTAACAGTTTCTAACATTCTGTTAGCCTTTTTGATTGCTGCTGCAAATTGAGTTGAAGTTGTCAGAGAAGTATCCATGGTACCTCCAAGATCTCTTTTAATTGGCTAATTTAGACCCCATCATTTTATATGTATAGTTGGGATTATTTTTTCCAATGTGCACTACTTTTCACTTAACAGGTTGAATTTCATCTGCCATTTTGTTGTCCAATCATCCACTTTTGTGAGAAACCCCTCTCTCTTTTCACAGTCACTTTGGGATTTAACATAATTTTTTGGAAAGCGTCAGCATAGTTTTTGTAAAGGAAAAATCATGCCTCGCCAATCTACTAGAATTCTTGGGGGGGGGGGAGGGTGTCAACAAGCATGTGGACAAGGGGGATCCAGTGGCTATAGTATACTGAGATTTTCAGAATGCCTTTGACAAGGTCCTCACCAAAGGCTCTTAAGCAAAGTAAGCGATCATGGGATAAGAGGTAAGGTCCTCTCATGGACTGGTATCTGGTTAAAAGACAGGAAACAAAGGGTAGGAATAAATGGACAGTTTTCAGAGTGGAGAGAGGTAAATAGTGGTGTTCCTCAAGGGTCTGTACTGGGACCAGTACTATTCAACATATTCATAAATTATCTGGAAAAAAGGGGTAAACAGTGAGGTGGCAAAATTTGCAGATGATACAAAACTGCTCAAGACAGTTAAGTGCAAAGCAGCCTGTGAAGAGCTGCAAAGGGATCTTGATAAATGCAAAGTAATGCACACTGGAAAACAATCTCAACTATACATATAAAATGATGGGGTCTAAATTACCTGTTACCACTCAAGAAAGATCTTGGCATTATTGTGGACAGTTCTCTGAAAACACCCACTCAATGTGCAGTGGCAGTCAAAAAAGCTAACCATGTTAGTAATCATTAAGAAAGGGACAGATAATAGGACAGAAAATATATTGCCTCTATATAAATAGAGTGACAACTTAGGGGGATATGATAGAGGTCTATAAAATCGTGACTGGTGTGGAGAAAGTGTTATTTACTCCTTCTCATAACACAAGAACTAGGGGTCACCACGTGAAATTAATAGGAAGCAGGCTTAAAAAACAAACAAAAGGAAGTATTTCTTTACACAATGCACAGTCAACCTGTGGAACTCTTTGCCAGAGGATGTTGTGAAGGCCAAGATTATAATAGGGTTTAAAAAAGAACTAGATAAATTCATGGAGGATAGGTCCATCAATGACTATTAGCCAGGACAGGCAGGGATGGTGTCCCTAGCCTCTGTTTGCCAGAACCTGGGAATGAGCGACAGAGAATGGATCACTTGATGATTACCTATTCTGTTCATTCCCTCTGGGGCACCTGGCACTGGCCACTGTCAGAAGACAGAAAAGTAGGTTAGACGGACCTTTGGTCTGACCCAGTATGGTCATTCTTATCTTGAATAATTTTTAATCACTGTTCACCCCCTTTTCCAGATCATTGATGTATATGTTGAACAGCACTGGTCCCATCAAGATCCTTGAGAGAAAGATCAGCGAAGAACTGAATTTTGTATTAGTTCTGGAAGTATGCACATCCGTCATTCTTTTCTCGTGGCAGACAGTTCTCTAGTTAAGATCCTCTGAAAGTTTAGTCTTGCACACTTCATGAATTTCCTCCTACTAGCAGAGTTTCTTTGTTTGGAACATACCAAATATGGGAAGTCACAAACACACAGGGAGAGGTGATCTCTTTGGTACCTAGAGCCAGTCCTACAGAGGGCTCTTAATATCAGGCAAAAACCTGATCTGGACTCTGTATTTAAAGGGCAGCAAGTGCAAAGAGATCAGCACTAATACATGTCCACAGAAAGCTGTGTTACTAAGCACACGGGGTATTTCAGCCTTCTAGATCAGATGAAGTCACTTCCCAGCAGGATTTTCTTAGGTTTTCCTCAGTACATCTTATTATGCCAATTTGTATTATGCTTTGTCTTAAGCGACAGACCACTAAGCAAGAGGACCTAATTTCTCAGAATATATTTATTCATGACTCTACTCCACATTCCTGATTTAAGTGACTGTAGAGGGGTGGTTACCCCGCTCCCAGGATAAAAAAAGTGAGCGCAGCTGAGGGAGGCTGGTGAGCTGGCTACAGGTGTGGCCAGCTCAATCAGGGCACAGCTGGCCCCAATAAGAGGGCTGTGAGTAAGGAGCTGTATGAGTCTCACCCCAGCCCTGATGTGAGAAGGACCTCGCTGCCTGGGAGAGACAGGGTACCTTTGACAGACCAGTGCTGGGGAAGGGGCAGGCTGAGCTGGGGAGCTCAGGCCTGGCTACCTCCCAGGCTGAGGCCTGGCAGGAAGGCCTAAGGAGATACTGGGGCTACAGGAAGACAGCTAGGGCTAGAAAGGCAGCAGGTCCAACCCCCCTTGCCAATGATAAGTGGCCATTACAGACTGCAGTTTGCCCCAGAGAAAGGGGGCTAGATGATGACTGGCAGTAGCCACTGAGGGAAGGTGGGCATGGGGGAGGGGGTTCCCCTGTGAGGAGAGAACAGCACCCCAAGGAAAGGGGGCCTGAAATGCCTGAAGTACAGTGGTGGAGATTGACAAGTAAGCAGGTACCGGTAGGGAGAAACTGGCCAGCAGGAGGCTCTCCGAGGCTGGAAAGAGCTAATTCCCGGACAACCAGCAGGAGGCGCCATGCTGGTGAGTCAGCGGCTTGCTACAGTAACTTAGAAATGAACTTACATTTGTGTGTCCAAGAAATACCTCTCTATAGAATACCAGGGGCCAAATACAGCCAGGATCTAAGTAGGTAAAATTCCACTGATTTCAACAGAATTATACCTGGTATATTACAAGACAACTCCATAATACTGTTTAATATCAACAGCTATCTTGAATCCTGAACAGCCCACTCAAGGCTAAGTTACACCATTATAACCCATTGCTCAGGTACAAGTATAGCTGTTCATATTAAGCAGTATTATTGAGTGAACTTAGATTGATAAGTTAGTTCAGGAATCCAACTAATAGTGGATTCATGACTTAGTATGAAACCTTTTCGAGTTAGAGTTGTGTTGGGGCTAACCTCTATTTAAAGAATACATTTTTTAAAAGGTGGCTAGAAGTTTTGTTTTAATGCATACCTATACACAGAGCTGGGAAACATACTTAATACTTTTATCATTGGATCAACTGAAACAGTTTTATTCAAGCTCTCAAACTTCACACGCACATGCACGTAGAGACCAAAGATGGAAAATTTCAGCCCTCAAGGTGAATGTTCTAGAAGTTCTGAGTGTATGAAGACAAAGTAACAATGGAAACTTTTCTGTACACTTAATTATGCTCCGCATGACTCACGGGGCCACTATAAATATGCGCACACATGCAAACTAACCTGTTTTTGATTGTTGTAGGCCAACACAGTTCTGATGGCTGTTTACATTCAGGTTCTGGAGCGCACTAACCAAATCTGCTTTGCATAGGGCCTTTACATCACTCACCAGGGCTTTGCTGCATAAATTTTTATCATCCCTATGAAAAGAGATTTACTTTTGTTTTGATCTATTAACTGCTCAACAACACTATTATATTCTAAATCATAAAGCTAACCCATTGACAAACTTGTCTTCAGTAAGCCCATATAAATCTTGAAGGGCTTCACTATAAACAACATGTTGCCTGAGAAAGAAAAAAGGTACCTATATAAGAAAGCAGATGAGATGGTTAAACCAAAAATATCTATTCTGAAAAGCAACACAAAATATATTGAAGAGGATGACGACAAAAACTTTATAACCACACTTTAGGCCTGACTTCACCAGAAAAGCAACTGCAAACACTGGCATCTTTTAGCTCAACAGATGAAACCATATTTGCTTACTTACTGCCAAAAAACAAAAACACGCCCTCCCCTCCCCCTTTCAAACCAGCACCCTATACATGTCTTTACTCTTAGACCTGAAAAGCAGGATGTATTTTTAAAAAAATCAAATTGGATTTTTTAAATTAAACTGATTTTAAATTTAAAACTAAACAATTTTTTTAAAAATAAAACTAAAAATACATTTGAATTTGTAGCCTATTTTACTTAATCTAATCCATTAAAATTAAATAAAAATATTCAAGCAGGACATGTTTGCTACTAAAATTTTAAAGAAAGTCAAACCACTAAACTGGTAGAAGTCAGTGGCTAAAGCACCTGGAACCAGAGTAAGTTGAAGTGCTAAATCAGCTTTTGACAATAGTAGCGTCTTCTACAGGTGCAGAGATAGTATTTCAGGTCAATGACTAATTCATTCAGAAGGTGAGAAACCAATTGGGAATTTGAAGAAAAGAGAAAAAAAAAGCAAAGCTTGTTTTTTATTCATATTGGAAGAGAAGGAGGAGGAGCTCTACTAGTTCCAAAATCTTAAAGGACTTAATGGCACTGATAGTTTCTAGTCAGTGCCTATCGATAATACCTTCTTTAATAAATCCATTTTAAATGCAAACATTTTTGATACTACTTATGTATCCAGCACATTTAAAAGAGATTTTTATTAATTAAATAAAACCAATTTTAAAATGCTGTTTGTGCATTAATTGAATTTCAATTACCATTTAAATGCAGCTTGACACAAATCACAAGTAAAAAAATTAATGCACTAGCAAATAAGAAATGCATTATTCAGAATTTTCTAATATCATAAAAATGTAAAAACTACAAATATGAATACATGTATATTAAACTATACAATTGCTTAAATGTGTATTGATTCAATGTATCATCCAAAGTGGCAAAAAGAAGTACCAAATTTACTGTGATGGCTCTATGTAGTTGCAAATCCATGTGTTTTAAAGTTAATGATTAAGGAGACTCAGCCACTCTTAGGAAGAATAAAAAATAAATAGTTACATGTCTGTTCTGTAACTGTTGCTCAAGACGAGTTGCACATGTACACTTCACTTAGTTGTCTGTGCACCAGAGCACTCTTTCCCATAGCAGTACCCCTGGGGCACTCACGCTGCTTGGAGACAGGTTTAAGGGCAGAGCCATCCCAACCTCCCCCTCAGTTCCTTCTCATACCAGAAGCCACCATACATAGTGGCTCCAGGGTAGAGGGGAGAAGAGCAGATTATGAAATGGACACGCATAACATGTTGAAGAACAACAATTCCTGTAGCCCATGAAAGCTTATGCTCTAATAAATCTGTTAGTCTCTAAGGTGCCACAAGTACTCCTGTTCTTTTTCCAGATACAGACAAACACAGCTGCTACTCTGAATTCCTGAACTCATCTGAATTCATCTCTTTTTCCCTTCTTTGAGTGCTTGCACTTGTCCATTCTACTTAGGTAACTCTCAAGCAGATCCTGATGGAGGAGGGTATCACTGTCTACCTAAATAAGGACTACACCGCTCTTCTCCCAAACTTAGCATTATCTCTGGAGAGGAGATGGCATAAGGGTCATCATATAAACCAAAGACCACATGACAGCCTAGCAAGTGTCAGTAATAGGAACATGACCCAGGAAAGCTGTTGAAGCCACCTTTTAGTCCTTGCAGAGTGGGCTAACACTTTGTGGAGAAAAGATACATGGGCAATATCGTAACAAGGAAATGCAAGTGGAAGTCCAGGAGCAGATCCTCTGGGAGGTTACTGATTTCTCTTTCATACAATAATAAAATGAAACAAACAGCTGAGGAGATGCCCAAAACTCCTTAATTCTGACAAAGTAAAAAGCTAATGTTCTTTCAATGTTCAAGGTATGTAGCTGCTCTTCATCTTTGTGAGAATGGGAAAGAATGTCAGGAAGTAAACAGTCTGGTTCAAATGAAAGTCAAAAACCACCTTGGCAAGAAATTTGGGGTGAAGATGTAAGGCCACTCTGTCTTTGCTTACCAGCAGCGTCCGCAGGTTCGGCTGACTGCAACTCCTACTGGCCGTGGTTCTCCGTTCCAGGCCAATGGGGGATGTGGGAAGTGGCGACCAGCACATCCCTAGGCCCACGCCGCTTCCCACAGACCCCATTGGCCTGGAACAACTAACCACAGCCAGTGGGAGCTGCGGTCAGCAGAACCTGCAGACGCTGCTGGTAAACAAACCGTCCTGGCCCACCAGCAGATTTCTCTGACGGGCCACATGCCAAAGGTTGCTTATCCCGGCTATAGGGGAAGCCATCCTGACCCTGAGTTTGTAAGCTCATAGGATGTGCTCCCCAGCCAAGGATAAAGCATCTGTGACTAGAGGCACTAATGGTAGATCAGAAGTAAAAGGAACCCTTGTGCATACATTGCCTGTGACCATCCACCAATTCAGAGAGAAGAGAACAGTTGCAGGCATTTGAGTCAGCATGCCCAGCAGATGTCGGGAACAATGGTAAACTGACTTCAACCACCTCTGCATGACCCTAAGGTGAAGTCTGGCATGCTGGGTAACATATGTGCAAGTTGCCATAGTGTCCTAAAAGTCTCTTGCAATTCCTCACTGTTATACAGGGATGCACCTGGAATTCTGAGCACAGATTGTGTATTGCTTGAAACAAATATGGCCTTGCTGTGGTTGAATCGAGAACTGCCCCTGCAAATTTTATCTTCTTTGCAGGGGTGAGATCTGGTTGGTCTTTGAGTAGCAGGCCTAAAACTTGAGACACAAGACCTTCTGCACCCCTTCTTCCACCTGGTTCTTGGACTGTCCAAGGAGCAACTAGTTGTTCAAGTATAGATACACCTAATGCCCACCCTTTGATCATGTGCTGCCCCACCACTGCACACATTGTGAAAACTCAGGGCAGGGACAGAGGACAAGCCAAATGGAAAAATGTGAACTGATAATGGACATCTGCCAGAACAAATCTTAGGAACTTCCTGTGACAGGCCAAAAGGAAGTATGCCTCCTTTAAGTCACAGGTAGCAAGCCAGTCGTTGAGAGACAGGAATGGGATAATAGTAACCATTAGAATTTTTTTTTAAATGAATTGCTTGAGATTCTGCAGGTCCAGAATGGGTCTGAGGCCTTCCTTGGACTTCAGAATGAGAAAACACCAAGAATAAAATCCTTTCTCCTGATGTAGGAGGCACTTCTATGGCCTCTAACAGCAGCAGAGACTGTCCTTCCTGAATTAGTACAGTCTCAAGGGAGTGATCCCTGAAAAGAGACAGAAAAAGTGGATGGGAGAGTGGAAGAGACATGATTTGTAGAATATATCCCAGTTCCACTGTGCTTAGAACCCACCTGTCTGACAACATGATTCCAAGCGGTACAACTTGCAGCCAAAAGGAGGGAAACTCTCTTAAGTGGTTTGGTGCTCTCAACTGAGTCAGACAGACTGTTTGGAAATTGACAGCTGTCTCACGGTCACAGATGTAGGTCTCCTCCTCTGGAACTTGTCATGTCTTTTAGAAGTTGTCAAGGTTCCTTCCCCACTCTGAACTCCAGGGTACAGATGTGGGGACCTGCATAAAAGACCCCCTAAGCTTATTCTTACCAGCCTAGGTTAAAAACTTCCCCAAGGTGTAAACTTTGCCTTGTCCTTGAACCTTATGCTGCCACCACCAAGTGTTTTAAACAAAGAACAGGGAAAGAGCCCACTTGGAGACATCTTCCCCCAAAATATCCCCCCCAAGCCCAACACCCCCTTTCCTGGGGAAGGCTTGATAAGAATCCTCAAATTGTACAGGTGAACACAGACCCAAACTCTTGGATCTTAAGGGCAATGAAAAATCAATCAGGTTCTTAAAAGAAGAATTTTAATTAAAGAAAAGGTAAAAGAATCACCTCTGTAAAATCGGGATGGTAAATACCTTACAGGGTAATCAGATTCAAAACAGAGAATCCCTCTAGGCAAAACCTTAAATTACAAAAAGACACAAAAAACAGGAATATACATTCCACCCAGCACAGCTTATTTTACCAGCCATTAAACAAAAGGAAATCTAATGCATTTCTAGCTAGCTTACTTACTTAACTTTACAGGAGTTGTAAGGCTGCATTCCTGATCTGCAAAAACATCACACAGACAGACTAACCCTTTGTGTCGTCCCCCCCCAGCTTTGAAATTCTTGTCCTCTCATTGGTCATTTTGGGTCAGGTGCCAGCTAGATTACCTTAGCTTCTTAACCCTTTACAGGCGAAAGGGTTTTGCCTCTAACCAGGAGGGATTTTATAGCACTGTAAACAGAAAGATGGTTATCCTTCCCTTTATATTTATGACAGAAAAGTTATGCTCCTTCACCAGGTAATACGATGGATACCTCTGATGACCCTGAGGCAGAAACTGTTTTCTCTTTGTAAGGACCCAGGTCTGCGGAGTCTGGGACAGCTATATTTCTCACTGTGCCACTGGGAGGACATCCAGAGGCTCAGCCAGAGAGCACTATGGAGAGTAAACACTGTAGGAAATACCGCCCAAGAGATCCAGAGTGACAGTACCCTACACCCCTCTGATTGGCCAAGTGCACTATTTAACCCCATGGGTTGCCCCAGGAAGTGGTCTAGGCAACCTCACAGACTTCAGCCTGCTGCAACGCCAGACTCTGCTTGATCTCCTGTGTCCGACTCCAGCCTTACTCTCACCCTGATTCCTGACTCTAGCCTGCTACAGGCTCTGATCTTCAGCCTCTGACTGCAGCCTGACTCTTGCCTCCTGATTCCAGCCTTGTACTACTTCTGAGCTCTGATCCTGGCTTGACTCCAACCCTGGCTCTTGCTTACAGAACTTGTTTTTGGAATTCCTCCAACTCCTGCCTGGTGACTACTGTCCCTGCTGGGCAGACCTCAGCCCAGCTGTGACCAATAGGCAAGACCACTTATGCCACAGTCCTTTTCAGTTTTTATAGCAGGAGTATAAATACCCAAAGATTTCAGGATTGCTGAGGAATCTTTTAAAGAGTGCAGAGTCTCAGCTATTTTGCCAGAGAACAGACCTGAACCTTTGAAGGCAAGTCTTCTATAGCATGCTGCACTTCCAGTGCTTGCAGCCATGAAGCACAACGCATAACAATGGCTGCTGCCGTCAGTGGAGCTGCTGTGTCTGCTTCATCCAGTGAAGCCTGTAGATAGGACTGGGAAACCAAACAACCCTCATTAATAAACACCTTAAATTCCTCTTTGACACTGTTTGGTAACTTGTCTTGAGATTTAGACATTGCATTCCAATTTAAATAATCATATCTGGCAAGGCACACCTGATGATTTGCAATTCTACATTGTCCTGCACAATTGGTACCATGTGGGTTGGTGCCAATGCTGTCGGATCTGGGAGTTATCCTGCCTGAGAGGTGAAGCTGGCACTGACAAGCACAAGAGATCCTGTGCCACCGCATATGCCTAATACATAGTTGGTACTGACAAAATAGCCTGAGGAACAGAAATCAGTGCCACAGATGAAGTAGGCAATGGAGTCTCTCTCGCCAGAGCCTCTGGAGATGCTGGAGTCAACAACTTAACATTGCAGGAATACAGTACAGGGGACCACCTCACCTCCTAACCTCAGAACTATCCTTAAGGGAGTCTGATCATTTAGCCCTCAAAAGGAAAAGACTTCAGTATATCGCAGTACAGAGCAAAGCTCAACAAAAACAATGACAAAATAATAAGTAAATGGAAACCTAAAATGGATAGAGCTAGCTAGCTAAGTAACTAACACACAGAAAACATGAAGAGCTCACACTTGCTCTGACCACCAATCACAGGCAGAGAGAAGAAACTGAGGGGCATCTCTGCCTTTCATGCGCCTGCTAAGCAGCACCAGTGCATGGAGGACACACGTGCTGCCCACATAGGTTCCACTATGGAAAAATGTTCTCTAGCTCTGGTGCACTGGCACAGACATTTAAGTGGAATGGACATGTGCAAGCACCTGAAAAAGAATTAAGCAATACAAATGCAAAAACAAGATTTAAGCCAATGTTTTAAATCAATCCACCCTGCTGCGTACCCAATGAAGATGTGATGGACTAAGCTGAATTCTGTTCTGTCTAATACAACAAAATTAACCAAGTTCCAGCTGGAGAATCTTTATTACTCATGAGGCTGTAAAGAAGCCAAAAAGAGTAGAGTAGAGATGGATTTTAAGAGTATAGATCACAGTCTGAGTTTAATAGAGCCGCATAATAAAAGAGTCATCCCTTAACTCAGATTGTGCTAACTTAACATGGAATCATTAACATGGACAGTCTCTCCATACTCATGTTTGCCTAGGTTTCCATTGAAAACATTAATTTGGCTCCCACACATTAAGTTTGCACAAATTAAACCAGTTTCCATTAGAGAACTCATTTCCACTTTCTGAAATGGTATTGATTTTGTCTGGTATTCACTCGAACAACCTTTTCAGTATCCATTCAAGGAGATCAGTTGCTGAAAATGAAGTTTCAATTCCTAGTGTAGCCAAAGCTAGAATCAAGTCACAAAAATCAGCAGCAGAATTAGAACAAAGTCAATCCCTATCCATACACACTGTAACACACACTACTACCAACTCCACTGTGTATGAAATCCAAACATCTATGTACAACCAGATCTCTGCTCTGTTCCCACCCAAAAAGTAAAAAGAAAAGGAGTACTTGTGGCACCTTAGAGACTAACCAATTTATTTGAGCATGAGCTTTCGTGAGCTACAGCTCACTTCATCGGATGCATACCGTGGAAACTGCAGCAGACTTTATATACACACACAGAGATCATGAAACAATACCTCCTCCCACCCCATTGTCCTGCTGGTAATAGCTTATCTAAAGTGATCATCAAGTTGGGCCATTTCCAGCACAAATCCAGGTTTTCTCACTTACCATGCACATTGTAGGGAGAGTGGTCACTTTGGATGAGCTATTACCAGCAGGAGAGTGAGTTTGTGTGTGTATGGGGGTGGGGGGGTGAGAAAACCTGAATTTGTGGGAAATGGCCACTTGATTATCATGCACATTGTAGGGAGAGTGGTCACTTTGGATGAGCTATTACCAGCAGGATAGTGAGTTTGTGTGTGTGGTTTTTGGAGGGGGGTGAGAGAACCTGGATTTGTGCAGGAAATGGCCCACCTTGATTATCATGCACATTGTGTAGAGAGTGGTCACTTTGGATGGGCTATTACCAGCAGGAGAGTGAGTTCGTGTGGGGGGGGGTGGAGGGTGAGAAAACCTGGATTTGTGCTGGAAATGGCCCAATTTGATGATCACTTTAGATAAGCTATTACCAGCAGGACAGTGGGTGGGAGGAGGTATTGTTTCATGATCTCTGTGTGTATATAAAGTCTGCTGCAGTTTCCACGGTATGCATCCGATGAAGTGAGCTGTAGCTCACGAAAGCTCATGCTCAAATAAATTGGTTAGTCTCTAAGGTGCCACAAGTACTCCTTTTCTTTTTGCGAATACAGACTAACACGGCTGTTACTCTGAAACCACCCAAAAAGTGATTATTAAGTCTTTGGTTACTTTATGCAGCACCAGTAATATTAGCAATTGTTTTCCAGCAAATTCCAGTTTTAAGAAAATTAAGAACTTGAATTAACTCTAACCATAACACTTTAAGTAGAGTGACTGTTTTTAATTATTCCTTTATACCACAAAGGAGTTATATCAAGTTATTTTGCGTCTCAAAAAAAAATTATTTCAAATCACATCTAAAACTGATGGGTGTGTAGTCTCCTCCCCAAACACAGAATTCAGCAATCTCAGACTTGAAAACAGAACATGAGATGCAAATGTAACTCACGTGCACAGTATGACAAAAGCTTGAGGAAAAAGACTCCGATACTGCAAGCAGCATTGTAAAACACGATCATCATTGTTTTCATCACTCAATCCATCTGCAAATTTAGCAAACACAATGGCAATATATTCAGAAATAATCAGGCTTCATAAGCAATATCTTAATATATTTATTAAGATACTGTATTCAAACACTGTATTTGGTCAAGCAAAGGGGAGATGTGTGGTCTAAGTACAGATCTGGGACCCAGGAATTCCCTGAGTTCTACTAGAAACTGCTGCTTTCTTGCTGTGCAACTTCAGACAAATTGCTTACAGAGCTCTGTGATCAACTAGGTCAGTAGTCACCAACTGAAGACGACACGCAATCCATACCTAGCTTGGTAGGATGAAGTAACTCCCCACAGCCTATTTATAAAATGGAGACACAGCTAGAATTGAGAATGCTGTAATAAATAAATTTATTGATAACATGGTAGGGAATGAAGTACTAGTTTTGATTATAAACTACCCATGTACTAAATATTTAAAAAATCCTTTACTACTGATTAAGGTATATTTGATGGGTTCATGCTGAAAAAATATAGGTGATGTTGATCTTTCTGAGTTATCAGAAGACCAACACCTACCCATCACAAAAGATAGAGAAATATATAGGGCCTGATTCTTCACTCCATTACACCAGTTTTATGCCAGCATAACTCTGACATCAATCAACAGTATAAAATTGGTGCAACAGCATGGAGAATCAGGCCCATAGCGAATAATAGTCAGTTTTAATAGGGAAATTGCAAAGGTAAAAGTGAAGATTATATTAAGCCCAGAAGTAGATGCTGATTCTCACACTAGTAGAGCTGTGAGGACCATTCAACCCAGAAATAAATGTAACTATGTACATAGCTTACATATTTTCTGAGAGGCAAGCTGCATGGATTGCCCCCACAGCTTTGAATCTTGGTTTTTGAGACAAGTATAGATGAACTCAACTGCAGGGACAGCTTTGTGCCGAACATGTTGTAGTACTTTGCCTTTCTTCAAGTTGTCCAGTTCTTGTAGAACCACCCAAGGAATTATCAGTGCAAGTCTGCCCGTGCCTAGAAAAAACAATTTTTTTTTTAAATGCCAATTGAACTACAGTAGGTTCCATTTTAATGTGAACATAGCTCCTGAGGTTTGTGTGTATTAGCAGATTTCTGCATTACTGGGCAAGACCCATTTCATTTGTATACAGGAGGATTAATTTTATTTTATTTTTTTAAACAGAAGTTAGCTTTCCTAATGTTACATTCAATATAAACACTCATTCAATGGGTTATCTTAAAAGTGATGACATGCAAAGTTGAGGAGTAATCAGTAAACAATTTTTATCACATTACTGTACCATATTTTGACATAATTGTTGTGGTAATCCCGTCATGCTGTTTGCCACTCAGTGAATACCATACTGTGTGATGCTTGATGCTAAAATAAAGTCACAGAGCAGTAGAGGAAAAGGGAAGACTGACATGTTCACAGATGATTGTCATTACATATAATCTAATAAATAAAAAGCAACAATGGTTTGCAAAGACCATCATTCAACAACACTATATCAGCGATAAATGCTATGGACACTAGACAAAAGTTTTAACGTCCTACATTTTCAATGAACATGGTTAAAAAAATTCTTTAAAAATATGGACTAAACTTTGTCATTAAAACTGGAATATACTAGACACACAATGAATACATTAGAAAGTGAATGACTATTCTGTCAATGCTATATACGTTGGCCCCATTCTTTATCTCTGGCACTTACATGATCAGAAATACACCACATACATTACAGCATAATGGGGCTAAGTTTCCAATTGGTTTGCATTATAAATCAGTGTTCATTAGCTCAGAATGTCAGAAGCACCCTAACGGACTTCACTGGTGCATGCCAACATGCTGGTATCTGCTGTCTTAGTTCCTCTAGCAGTACAGACTTAGAATTCAACAAGATACTAGGAGGCAGTACTGAAAGCACGGGGTTGGACATCAGAACTCCATATGTATTATTTTCAGCTCTGTTATATAACTCAGACCTCAACTTTTTTAATTTGTTCCTGTGCCCTCAGCTTTGTTACGAGGTTTAAACAAAGTGCTTGAAGATCTTTGTATTAAGGTGCAATAGAAGTGCAAAATACTTACTGTTAATAATGGATCCAACACTTAAGCCCCTATTCTGCCCTTACCCCAGGTAAAAAAAAATTCTTATTGATTTTCTATAGCATCCAGGATCAGATAGAACCAGACCTGGGGGTTTTTAGAAGGCAAGGTTTCCTAAAATTTATGTATACAGAGGAGTTTAAAATTTGTAAAAAAGTTTACTGCTCTGCTTTCAAATGTCAGTTTCCTTAATAGGAAGCCTACACTCTGAATTTAGACTCTCACAAACAGGCATTTACATGTGAAAATCTAAGTGTCCAAATGTGGGATTTGGATAGCTTGTTAAGGAGCCCAGTGTTTGAGAGTTAGCCTCAATATGTACGAAGTTATTTTCCATTATGTACATTCCAGTACAGTGTGTTAGGCATTGTCCATAGCCTGAAGAGCTTACTATACAAACACACGAACCTGTTGATTGTTCCTCTTCTATAGGGGCTATAAAAGCATTCACATACCTGGTATATCTCTAGTTTTCAAAGAGATGATAAACTGAAGGTGACTAATCATTATGTTGGTGTCAATCACTATCAAGAGGTTCAAACCAGAGGTAGTAGTTGCTGTAGAAGAGAACACATAGCAATTCATTCTTTTGCTTTCCTTACTTAGATCACTTATTACTTTTAATATTGTAAGTGTGGAAGCAGAAAGCAGAGGAACCTCCTGACAACCTTACAGATGACATACCAGCCGGAATATCTGCATTCTCTTCTGGGAGATCTATTTCCATACTTGTCAATTCTCCACAAGTCTGTACGACTGGCAAAGCCATCTTTTTGTCAATACGAGCAGCATGCAAGTCTTCTATTATTTGCATCTATTGTAAAACATGAATACATAAAATAAGAGGTGGGTAAGCTCTTTAAAAAAGTTGTCTGACAGGAACAAGCATCTTTGGTATCACTGCTGCTGGTTTTGTGCAGTTCTTAGCCTTAGTCAATTTTCAACTGGTGCAGCAAATTTAAGAGTATGAACATCTGCAGCCTATATCCAAAATATGTGAAGTCTAAGGTCTGGCCTAAAAGTTCCATTTGTGACCACATTTCTATCCAGTAGTTAATAGGCTTGATCTGTTCCTTGCTACAGAGACCAAAAGCGCTCTGCTAACAACAGTTCTTCGGGAATATTGCTCTATTTCAGTGGTTCTCAACCCAGAATACACAAACCCCAGGAGTACACAGAGGTCTTCTAGGGGGTACATCCACCCACCTAGATATTTCCCTAGTTTTATAACAGTCTACATAAAAAGCACTAGCCAAGTCAGTACAAACTAAAATTTCATACAGACAATGACTTGTTTATACTGCTTTATATACACTACACCCTGAAAGGTAAGTATAATATTTATATCCCAATTGATTTATTTTATAATTATATGTTAAAAATGAGAAAGTAACCAATTTTTCAGTAATAGTGTGCTGTGACACTTGTCTTTTTTATGTCTGATTTTGTAAGCAAGTAGTTTTAAGTGAGGTGAAACTTAGGGGTACTCAAGACAAATCAGACTCCTGAAAGGGGTACAGTAGTCTGGAAAGGTTGAGTGCCACTGCTCTATATCTTTACAAAAAAAGTAAAGGGATGCTGGGAAATAAAATTGGTGGGATTTGCAACCAAATATTCTGACCCCACTTTCCAACATGGAAGCAAGAAGTCTAAAACTAGGTTGTACCATGTAAACTTGTTTCATAAAGCCCTTGACAGGAGCAACAAACTCTAACTGGATTTTTTTAGTACTTAAAGAGATACCACGGCCAGTAGGAATGGAAGTGGCATAGCAACAGTGCAAAATGAGGATACAGTTGTTTAAACTGAAATATCACTAACCTCTTGGTCTGTCTCTGTAACCTGAATGGCTTGATGGGAGGCAGAAGGGCATGGGACTTCAGAGCTCTGTTGAGAAATAATGCCAGAAGAAAGACATTTATAAGAATGCAAGCACTTGCTACCTGATGACAAACTTTAATTTTATTGTCAGGTCACAAACAGAACTTGTTTAAATTAATGTTCTATTCAAATACTATCTTTGCAGTAGTATTAGAAAGAGTAAAGAATGCAGTGGGCATATAGAAAAGGAGCAGAGAGTACATATTTAAATTGGCACAATCATAATGATACAAAAAACATGTTAAGATGCTTTAAAAAAGTAGACAAGTGTCTTGTATAAATGAGGTTGGGATCAACAAATTCTTCATAGTTGTGGCCAAACTTAAGCCTACGTCTCCATAAGCAGAGAGAGAAGATATATACGGTCATCTAGAAACTACCATTTAAAAAAAAAAAAAACACTAACCCATTTGTCTACTACTAACTTGTCCAGGATTTTATTACTTTACCTGTCTTAAATGTAATGGTACGGCTTCAAAGGTCCTTCCTTCAGTTCTTGAACTACTAACAGTTTTGCTGGAATCAGGATGCTGTTTTTTCTCTTTAAGATACTGCCATTCCTGAGATGTTGCAGTTGAATAAAATGATGGTATATGTTTAGTATCATGGTGATTTTTGTTAGATAGTTCTTTGGAGTTTTGTAGTTGTTCTTTCTTCTTACAAGTCTTTGATGATGTGTGTGACATATTAGTGGGGAAACTGCAGGAGATAGCAGTCTTTGGAAAGGTGGCTGAGGGCTTTTTCAGAATTCTGAAGTCATCACTCAATTTTTTTGATCCATGCAACTTCTTACTTAGCAAGTCTGTAGGACTAGCTACCTTGAACTTCTCCAACATAGTTTGTTCAACTCTAGCCTTTAGTTTGCTGAGCTCAGTTTTCTCTTTCTTCTTCCTCAGCTTGTCTTTCTGGATTGCAAAACTATGCCGCACCATTTTCCCTCCTGTTCCATCATTCTCAAAATAGTGGTCTTTTTTACAGCTTTCCCTGGTAGTAGGGACCACACCAGAATCGCTTTGGTGTTTCTCTCTTCCATGTTTAACATCATTATGTTTAAACTGTATAGATATCCTTTTTCGCTTCTCAGTTTGAGTCAAAACAGCACTGATTGTTTTGCTATCATTTGAAGACTCTCCTTGGAACCCTTCAATAGTGCCTTGTGGAACATAAGAACTTTGCTTTTGTTTCTTCTCTTCAACATATTTATGTCCTTTGAATCTGCAGAAACGTTACATAAATGGAAGTTACATTATAAAGAAAAAGTTACAATATAACTTGATTGAAATCAGCAAACAAAGAGAAGCCTGAACTAGACTGTTACTGTACTTCTTCACCCAGCTAGTTACTGCTAAGTATTTGAAATTTCATTAATTTATTCTGAATTCAGGACAATGTCGATCCCTTAAAAGAGTTTGGGGGCGGGGGACATATTTTTGCTTCTCATGGACATGCTTTGCTCTCACTGGTTTTACATCTTGCATAATTTTCTTAATTTGCTGACCAATAAAAGGTAACATAAGGTCACAGTCTACATTGTACCAGCCTGGTACAATGATTACAATACCGCAGTGTCCTCAACATTGTTAAGACACTGTTCAGCCTTATAGCATAGGCAAGATTGGTTAAAATGCTGTTCATATACCTGAGCTGAACTTGCTGAAATTCAAGGATATAGCCCTCAGGTTCTGTCTGCACTGTGGGGAATAGCGTAGTAAAGTAGATGAGACCCAAGTCTAGCTATGGCAATGCACTGCAATTTCAGCCTGAACAGAGATTCTTAATCATGGCAAAATGTCTGTAGCAGTCTTTTTATTTTTTATTAAAAAACAAAATGATGAAACGTTAGTGTAATAATTTTGAAATATTTATGCCCATAACGCTTTTTGCATCTGTGTTCAACACAGTGACAGTCACCCACCATGCTTCAGTCATGCTAGGGGTAGCCAAAAGCAAAGTTTTGTCTAGCATAAATTGAAAGGGGGTGGAGGAGAGAAAAAGATGCCCCTTTTGCAAATGGGGCCCAAGATATGCTAAAATTATTATTTTTGAACACATTGAACTATAAAGTCAGATATTGTTCCACCGGAGACCAATAAAAACCACTGAAAATGTAGTTAATAGAAATCCTAATAGATCTATTAGTTATCATAAGAGTATAAACATTTAGTCAACAATAACTGAGGAATCCACTTAAGGTATGAATTCACAAGTCAGTCAAAGAGCCCTTTGCCGTTACACGACTTGACTGATTTCTCGGTGCCTGTAACCTTGAAAATTACTTGAAGCATCGAGTTAGGACAACTGGATTGATTTGGAGGCTACCTAAAGCTAACAAAAATGGAAAATGAAAGATATTATACTTAATGCAAAATCCTCCTCTAAATTACACTATGGCTCTCTACTGTACATTTTGCTTTTGTTCCATGCCCAGTACTTCTGCTGACGTCTACAGAACAACATGCAACACAGACATTTCCATTACAAGGCCCACTGTTCAGAATGAGGAGGATAACACTGTCCCTGATCTCCAGCGAGCAGCAGAAGGGTGTCATTCTTCTCTTGTTTAGCACAAATTTATAGTGAATTTAAAAAAAAAAAAATCTTAAGGACCTCATTTCTTAATTACCATCACAACCTGACTGACTTAGGCAGAGTCCATTCATGAATGCAAATGGAAATATTTTATCCGTTAAGACCCAATTCTCTATCACCGCACAAGTAAAAAACCCAATATTTTTGCTAAAATACTAAGCACTATTCTGTTGATTTTTTACAAAAATGGTTATATTTAGTGACAAAGCAAGCATTTACCTTTGAAATTCTAGCTGTCCTCTTATGTTACAGATTCCTGTCTCTTCTGATTTCTGAAAAAAGAAAAGAAAAGTTAAAAACTTTAACAGGAACCACTAAATTGCAGTAAAATAAAAAAAAAAAAAACTCAGTAAAGAATGTGTTATTGTGACCTATCACTGGATACATTCACATTTTTACTAGCTAAACTCTGAAACAAACTGGCCAGCTGCTTCATTACAATGTATATGCTTCACTGTATTCTGTTGCATTTTAAGAAACCTCAAGGAACTAGTGAGTAACAGCATACAAACAGACCTGGATTACAAAAGAGAAACAAAGTATAACTGATCACAGATCTTTATAATACATGCATATCCTATATTCTACAAAGAAACCAGTAGATAAAGAATATACGTTATCCAAATTGCTTTCTAGAAGCTTCTATCTAGTCTAGAACAGAGTTTTGACACTGTTTGGTCACAACCATATTAGCCAGCATTAGAAAGTTGTTCGGTTTTTTTAAACACAGAGTTTCAACAGTTTTCTGAAATGAGTAAAAGTTCTGAAGTCTTCTCTACAATGGAGGAAGTTTTCCAAGAACTCACCACCATTGAACTGAACTGGAATTAACAAATGGCACTAACACTGGAAGTCCTAATTCAACAGATTGCCAGACATTGCTGGACTTTTTTAAATACGGTGTCATGTAATTTTGCTCAAAAGAGATGTATCCACAGTATTCGGTCTTAAAGTGCTGGTGGTAGCCAGCACCCCATCCAGACTACGGCTTCCAACACTGCTATCTCCAATGAGCCTGAATAAGTTAGCAACAGCCTAAAAGTTTCCCTAGTGTGGAGGCCTTGTTCAAATGGAGCATCAGACCTCGTCCTTGTGCACAATCAGGTCAACCTAACCTCCAACTGTATATTCCGTCGACCTAGCTACTGCCTCTTGGATTTACTACAGCAATGGAAAAATCCCTTCCATCATTGTAGTAAGTGTCTACACTACAGTAGTACAGCACGACAGCAGCTGTAGTGTTTGTAGGATACACATCCACTTACAACAGACCTCTCCCCCAGATAATCAATATCTAGCCATCACATCAAGTTCAACATGACTAAAACAGAGCTCTCTTAATCCCCAACTCCCTTCTCAATCTCTGTGAACAATACTACCATTCCGCCCATTACTCAGGCCTATATCTTGGACATCATATTTGGCTGAGAAAGAAAAAACACATTGTTTGCTTGCACCCAGCTTACCAAACAACTAGATTGCGCCAAATCAATGAGCTGTCCGCTTCATTATTTACCACCAATTTGTGTGTCACCTGCAAACTTTCAGTGATGACTGCTTTCTTCCAAGTCATTAATAAATAAATAAAAAATAATAAAATAAAAAAAAATTATATAGCACAGGCCAAGAACCAATCCCTGTGGTACACACTAGAAACACCAGCTCAATGGGGATTCCCCATTTATAGTTACATTTTGAAACCTATCAGTTTTTATTCCATTTAATGTGTGCCACATTAGAAAAAAACCTAGCACAAAAAAAAAAAAAAAAACCACACAAAATATCATGCAGTACTAAGTCAAATGCCTTAGAGAAGCCTAAATACATTACAACACTATTGTCTTTATCAACCAAACTTGTAAACTTGTTTAAAAAAAAAATCAAGTTATCTATTTTCCATAAACTCATGTTGATAGGCATTAATTATATTATACTCCTTTAATTCTTGATCAAATCATATACTCTATTAACAGCTCTATTATCTTGCCAAGGATCGGTGTCAGGCTGACAGGTCTACAATGACCCTGGTCATCCCATTTAAGAACGGCCATACTGGGTCAGACCAAATGTCATCTACAACCAGTATCCTGTCTTTCGACAGTGGCCAATGCTAGATGCCCCAGAGGGGGATGAACAGAACAGGTAATCATCAAGTGATCCATCCCCTGTCGCCCATTCCCAGCTTCTGGCATTTACTCTTCTTAAATGCTGGAACATAAACTTTTTTCAAGTCTTCTGGAACTTTCCCAGTGCTTCAAGATGTATCGAAAAAATTAACATTAATGGTTCGGCGAGCTCCTCAGCCAGCTCTTAACTTGAATGCAAGTTTGGACCTGCTGATTTTAAAATGTCTAACTTTAGCGGCTTTTATTTAACATCTTCCAGAGATAGCAGTGGAATGGAAAGTGTTATCCATATGTTGAAACTATATATCATTTTTTTCCTTTAAATACAGTACAAATATTTATTGAACACTTCTGCCTTATTATTGATAATTCTACCATTTTCATCTAATAATGGTCCAATACCACTCTAAGGATTCTTTTTGTCTTTATATTTAAAAAATAATAATTAAACACTGTCCTTAGCTCTGCTGGCCATAGATTTCTTCTTGTGTTCCTTTCTGGAAAATTGATAAGGAAAGCAAGTTATATTTATGGCTTATATTAATGACTATCAACTTCCTCTTTATTCCATCTGTTTTTAATACACACACACACACACACACACACACACACGCCTTCACTTTTCCTCCAAGCCAGATCATTGTTTTAAACCAGCATGGGCTACTTCCTCAATTATGGCTTTCTTAAAATGATTCCCCAATTACTCGTATACATTTTTCTGATTAACATCACATGACTAGGGCTCCTATGAGGTTAGTTCTCATGCAGTCACTGGGACAACAGAAGCAAATCTGACATATTATGCAGTAGGATGCCTGTGAGGTACAGGTGTCTGTTGAAGCCATCCACCCATCATGTTTTATGTTTTCCAGGGAGTCTTTCCATTTTCCTTTCATTGGCTAAGTCAAAGATGATTCTTGCAGGGAAGATAGTAGGCATTCAGAGCAGATGACGAAATCACCTTTGAGAGCTTTGGGTGACTGTGAGAGCAGGACCTGTTTAGTTAGAAAACTGATCTCTTCATTTGACTTTAAATTTGTACAATTGGAGGTTTTCAATCATTCAGAGATACTTCATCTGAATGGAGTCCAATTTCTTTAGTCCTAATAGTTGGGGCCATGTTTCAGTCCCTTAGGTCAAAATACTAACCATTGAAGCACTATATAGCCTCAGCTTCATCTCTCCACTTGCATTTGGTTTATGAAAAGATGTTCTTGATGAGGTGCCCCACTACCCCACTATACTTTTGCATGAATTCTTTCCTGATACTGCTCAGGTTATCAACAGCAGAGACAAGGTAGATGAAATCACAGACAACCTTGCTGTTGGCCCTAGAAGCTAGGGGGATGACCACTCAGTCATGTTCAAAATCGCCAGCCACAAAAATTAGGGTTTTACCCCAATTAATTCCCAGGCTGACTTTTGCCACTGAACTTTCCAGGGCTTTAAGTGCAGCCACTAGTTTGTCTACTGATTCAGCAACTAGTGCTATGTCATCAGGAAAGTTGACAACGGTGAGGCTCTTATCAAAGCATATGCCTAAATTGCACTGACTTAGACAGCATGCTTGACCAGACATCATGATGGTGGCACTGAAGAGTTCTAGGGCAGCAATGCATCCTTGTCAGATGCCAAACCTAATCTGGAAGAATGTAGTTCTTTTCCCATTTGCAAGAAACAGTCATATTGGAAATGGAACATTCTACATAACTTTTCAGTGAGGCCTGCGAGTTTTAAGATCAGCCAAAGTGACTCAGAGTCAAACGTGGTCCTGACATCTAAAAGTGCAACATGAATGGAGTGCTTGAAATCTGATGTCTTCTCAGTAAACTGGTATGCTGTGAAGATTTTCTCCATTGTGGAATGGCTGCAGTTAAGCCAGCTTGCTGTGCTCTTCTCTTGCTCCTTAAGAAATCAGCAGCCTGAGCCAACAAGACAGAAGCAAACAAACACTTTCCCTTGGACAAATAAAAGTAATGCCAAGAAGTCATTTGCTGCCTATAGATATCCAAATCAATAAAATATCTTTTAGCCAGTCAGACAGGACTGACTGTTCCCCAGAGGATATTGAACAGTGTACAGTCACAAAAGAATAGCTGATCCAGCACTTTTTAACAGTTCTGCAGAAATTCCAGTTTCCTGATGCCATATTTCTGTAGATTTTGACAATAGTACATTGGCAAAGATCATTTTACGCAGAATAGGTCAACTCGGCAGCAGACTTAATGTCAGGGTCCAAAGAAACTGGGGGTGCATTTAACAGCTGGCTGAAGCAGTCATTCCAGCCTGTCATGCACTCCATCTCTGTATTGATTAGCTAAGCAGAACTGGAATAGATTGCACAAAGTGAACGACCTCTCTCATCAATAAGGTCATGCATGTGTTGATAAAAGGAAGCAACACTGCTCCTGGCAGAAGCTTCCTTGAGCATGATGGCTTTGGCTTCCACAAAAACTTTGCAATCAGTACGTATTACTTTATTATAAGTGCTATTTAGCTTATGATACATGACCATATCACCTCTCAGAGAAGTCACAGGACACTGTTCAATGCTGGTTAAGATATGAACAGAGATCCAGGTTTCTTGACTCTTTTTTGGGACCAACAACAGTCATAGCAGCATACGTCACCAGGGCTCTGAAGTTCATCCAGGTGGACTCACTATTAGTCTACTCTGGCAGGGTCTCAAATCAATTCAAGATTTCAATGGTTTCAAATTTTAATCAATTTTTAGGTTAGATAATTTGAATTTTAGTAACCTTTTTATTCTACAAAAGGAAGCCTGCAGAGACTAAGATGTGGTCAGCATTATCAATCTCAGCAGACCAATAAATTCTGCAGTGGCTGATAGGGGTGTGAAACAGATTCCATATGTCTGATTATTTTTAGATATTATTATATCTAAACCTTTTCCAATTCTAATACATCCCTCTTAAGATAAGGCAACCACAACGGCATGCAGTTGTCTTGGGTTCCTACATAGCATAGGGCCGTTATTATTTGTCTCCTTCCTGCTAAGTTGCAGAAGTTTTAAATTTAATAGCATACCAAGTTCACTAGGGAATCACAGAATATACCATATTACCCTCACAAACCCTTAATTTTGGTTATATAGCACTTCTCTCAACGTTTTTTGAAGAAGTGCTCTGTGGGGTGTATTTTTAAGTTAGAAAATGCTAATTTTGCAATTATATAATAAAATTGTAAAAAATTAGTTTAAAATGACCAAAAGTTTGCTTTGGTAAAAAAGCTAGTGTCGTTAAAACTGTAACAATTTTCCTTAGTACATTATATATAAGCCCCTTTGCTTTTGGTAAAAGTTGGTTTAAACTGAAAAAAATCCCTGGTTTTACAAAAAGTATTATTAGTTTTCTCCACCCCCACCCCTCCAAATTTTTACCCTACTTTTGTATCATTCAAATGTATTAAAAAAAAAACACAAAAAAGAACTTGTTTTATTAGGAAAATACAATACATAGCATGAGAGATATGTATTATGATAATACATTAGTCTGTATGTATATGCAAAGCTGCCTGTTGAAATAAGGCTATGTATTAGTCTAGAAGATACCTACAACAAACAGGCACACACGTAAGCCCTGAAGTACATGTGCGTTTCAACGTATTGATGAATCTCACGCCCACCAAGTACACATTTCAAGCTGTTAGCAGATACCAGTTTAAAGATTTGACACACTAAAATGGGAGCTGGACCTGCTGACAGCTTCCAGGGTGTAGCACAGTGCCCCAGGACAGGAAGGAAGCCTGCTTTAGCCCCACCCCACTCTGCTGCTGACCAGGAGCTACCAGAGGTAGAGCCCGTGCCCCAACCCCGAGCCCTAGCCCTGAGCCCCACCCAAACCCACAGCCCCCTCCTACACCCCAAACCCCTCATTCTCATTGGCCCCAGCCCAGAGCCCCCTACCATGCCCTGAATCCCTCATCCCTGTCCCCACCCCAGAGCCCTCACCCCCTCCTGCACCCCAACCCCATGCCTCAACCTGCAGCCCCGCTGCACTCCAAATCCCTCAACCCCACATCCCCAGCCTGAACCCCCCCCCTGAACCCCAAAACCCTCATCCCTTGCCCCACCCCAGAGCCAGCACTCCCAGCCCAGAGCCCTCACCCCTCCCAACCCCAACCCCCTGCCTCAACCCACAGCCCCCTCCCACATTCCAAACCCCTCATCCCCACCCCCAGCCCAGAGCCCCACAGCCCCCTCCTGTACCCCAAACCCCTCATCCCCACCCCCAGCCCTCACTGCCTCCCAACTCCCTGCCTCAGCCCAGAGCCCCCTCCTGCACCCTGAACCCTCATTTCTGGCCCCACCCAGAGCCACACCCCCATTTAGAGCCTTCACCCTCTCCCGCACCCCAACCCCCTGCCCGAGCGCAGTGAAAATGAGTGAGGGTGGGGGAGAAAGAGCCACCGAGTGAGGGGGAAATGTAGTGAGCAGGGGACGAGGCCTTGGGGCAGGAGTGGGGCTAGGGTGTTTGGTTTTGTGCCAATAGGAAGTCGGCAACCCTACTCTCTACTGTTGCATGCCTGCACATGCGTGAGAGAAGAACATACAAAACAATACCTATTGCTGATAAGAGAGGTCAATAATGGGTACTACTGAATACATCCAAGACACCTAGAGGGACATTTCTACTATGTTTCCATTGTACCTGTATGTAAGGTAATTATTTATTATATTGCAGTAGTGTCTGGAGATCCCTCCTTAGATCAAAGATCCACTGTGCTAGTCACTATACAAACAGATTATGAGATAGTCCTGTCCTAAAACTCAGTTTATATTGGAAACAAGATAGACAAATGGTTAAGGGGGAAAAGATATTGGACATAATCCTTTTATAAAAGTTTTAGACACTACTCACCCATTTCCTTTTCTCTGAGGAAGGTGTTGAGCTTGCCAAGCTGCATGCCTTTGTTTTATTACTGGTAGTCTTAGAACAAGAAGGCTGAAAGAATATAATTGAGACACAAACAAGGGGGAAATCATCAGGTGATTATAACATTTTTAATTTTATGCTGTATTCATTTTTAAGTACACATTTGCTACACAACTAAAGTCTGAGAAATTTGTTTGCCAAGAATCAAGAGTGATGTACTTATATTCATTTTCTCCTCACACACATCATTCCTTTTTCCAAAAGCCTCCCAGTGCCTATAATCACCTTCAGAGAATGCCATAAACTCTGCTAGCCATATTTCTGCACTTTTCCAAACTACTCCCACTTTGAGGAGCCTGTATAACACCATTTGATGGCTCTCTCCCTCACTTCATCCCTCCTAAATTCTGAGTGAGAAAACTTGCCGGTTTGAAGAAAACTTGTTGCCAAGAAGGCCAATGGCATTTTGGGATGTGTATATATAGGGGCATTACCAGCAGATCGAGAGATGTGATCATTCCCCTCTATTCGACATTGGTGAGGCCTCATCTGGAGTACCGTGTCCAGTTTTGGGCCCCACACTACAAGAAGGATGTGGAAAAATTGGAGAATGTCCAGTGGAGGGCAACAAAAATGATTAGGGGACTGGAACACATGACTAATGAGGAGAGGCTGATGAGGGAATTGGGGTTGTTTAGTCTGCGGAAGAGAAGAATGAGGGGGGATTTGATAGCTGCTTTCAACTACCTGAAAGGGGGTTCCAAAGAGGATGGATCTAGACTGTTCTCAGTGATAGCAGACGACAGAACAAGGAGTAATGGTCTCAAGTTGCAGTGGGGGAGGTTTAGGTTGGATATTAGGAAAAAAATTTTCACTAGGAGGGTGGTGAAACACTGGAATGCGTTACCTAGGGAGGTGGTGGAATCTCCTTCCTTAGATACTGGTTTGTCAGTAGCATAGCACACAGCCACCAACAAAAATAAAGTAAAATCCACAAAAGGTTGGGAGATGATTTTGACTGTGTGTGCAAGCGTGGCCAAACAGGGGTTGTGGCCATTAGAATCTACATTTAGCTTGTTGGACTACGATTTTCTTAAGTGATTTGCTGAAAAAAACATCTAAAAATCAATCACTGATTACAGGCATGTTACCATCACTGGGAATCTACTCATAATAAAACAAAAGGTTTTCTCTCCCCCGCCCCACCCCACTCTCCTGCTGGTAATAGCTTATCTAAAGTGATCACTCTCCTTACAATGTGTATGATAATCAAGGTGGGCCATTTCCAGCACAAATCCAGGGTTTAACAAGAACGTCTGGGTGGGGGGGGCATAGGAAAAAACAAGGGGAAATGGGTTACCTTGCATAATGACCTAGCCACTCCCAGTCTCTATTCAAGCCTAAGTTAATTGTATCCAATTTGTAAATGAATTCCAATTCAACAGTCTCTCGCTGGAGTCTGGTTTTGAAGTTTTTTTGTTGTAATATCGCAACTTTCATGTCTGTAATCGCGTGACCAGAGAGATTGAAGTGTTCTCTGACTGGTTTATGAATGTTATAATTCTTGACATCCGATTTGTGTCCATTTATTCTTTTACGTAGAGACTGCCCCTCTGCCATGTACATTGGTCAATACGTAAAATTAACTTAGGCTTGAATAGAGACTGGGAGTGGCTAGGTCATTATGCAAGGTAACCCATTTCCCCTTGTTTTTTCCTACCCCGCCCACGCACAGACGTTCTTGTTAAACCCTGGATTTGTGCTGGAAATGGCCCACCTTGATTATCATACACATTGTAAGGAGAGGTTTCAGAGGAACAGCCGTGTTAGTCTGTATTCGCAAAAAGAAAAGGAGTTCTTGTGGCACCTTAGAGACTAACCAATTTATTTGAGCATGAGCTTTCGTGAGCTACAGCTCACTTCATCAGATGTATACCGTGGAAACTGCAGCAGACTTTATATACACACAGAGAATATGAAACAATACCTCCTCCCACCCCACTGTCCTGCTGGTAATAGCTTATCTAAAGTGATCAACAGGTGGGCCATTTCCAGCACAAATCCAGGTTTTCTCACCCTCCACCCCCCCACACAAATTCACTCTCCTGCTGGTGCTAGCCCATCCAAAGTGACAACTCTTTACATAATCAAGTCGGGCTATTTCCTGCATAGATCCAGGTTTTCTCACATCCCCCCCACCCCCATACACACACAAACTCACTCTCCTGCTGGTAATAGCTCATCTAAACTGACCACTCTCCAAGTTTAAATCCAAGTTAAACCAGAACATCTGGGGGGGGGGGGGGGGGTAGGAAAAAACAAGAGGAAACAGGCTACCTTGCATAATGACTTAGCCACTCCCAGTCTCTATTTAAGCCTAAATTAATAGTATCCAATTTGCAAATGAATTCCAATTCAGCAGTTTCTCGCTGGAGTCTGGATTTGAAGTTTTTTTGTTTTAAGATAGCGACCTTCATGTCTGTGATTGCGTGACCAGAGAGATTGAAGTGTTCTCCGACTGGTTTATGAATGTTATAATTCTTGACATCTGATTTGTGTCCATTTATTCTTTTACGTAGAGACTGTCCAGTTTGACCAATGTACATGGCAGAGGGGCATTGCTGGCACATGATGGCATATATCACATTGGTGGATGTGCAGGTGAACGAGCCTCTGATAGCGTGGCTGATGTTATTAGGCCCTGTGATGGTGTCCCCTGAATAGATATGTGGGCACAATTGGCAACGGGCTTTGTTGCAAGGATAAGTTCCTGGGTTAGTGGTTCTGTTGTGTGGTATGTGGTTGTTGGTGAGTATTTGCTTCAGGTTGCGGGGCTGTCTGTAGGCAAGGACTGGCCTGTCTCCCAAGACTTGTGAGAGTGTTGGGTCATCCTTTAGGATAGGTTGTAGATCCTTAATAATGCGTTGGAGGGGTTTTAGTTGGGGGCTGAAGGTGACCGCTAGTGGCGTTCTGTTATTTTCTTTGTTAGGCCTGTCCTGTAGTAGGTAACTTCTGGGAACTCTTCTGGCTCTATCAATCTGTTTCTTTACTTCTGCAGGTGGGTATTGTAGTTGTAAGAAAGCTTGACAGAGATCTTATAGGTGTTTGTCTCTGTCTGAGGGGTTGGAGCAAATGCGGTTGTATCGCAGAGCTTGGCTGTAGACGATGGATCGTGTGGTGTGGTCAGGGTGAAAGCTGGAGGCATGCAGGTAGGAATAGCGGTCAGTAGGTTTCCGGTATAGGGTGGTGTTTATGTGGCCATTGTTTATTAGCACTGTAGTGTCCAGGAAGTGGATCTCTTGTGTGGACTGGACCAGGCTGAGGTTGGTGGTGGGATGGAAATTGTTGAAATCATGGTGGAATTCCTCAAGGGCTTCTTTTCCATGGGTCCAGATGAAGAAGATGTCATCAATATAGCGCAAGTAGAGTAGGGGCTTTAGGGGACGAGAGCTGAGGAAGCGTTGTTCTAAATCAGCCATAAAAATGTTGGCATACTGTGGGGCCATGCGGGTACCCATAGCAGTGCCGCTGATCTGAAGGTATACATTGTCCCCAAATGTGAAATAGTTATGGGTAAGGACAAAGTCACAAAGTTCAGCCACCAGGTTAGCCGTGACATTATCGGGGATAGTGTTCTTGACGGCTTGTAATCCATCTTTGTGTGGAATGTTGGTGTAGAGGGCTCCTACATCCATAGTAGCTATTACCAGCAGGACAGTGGGGTGGGAGGAGGTATTGTTTCATATTCTCTGTGTGTATATAAAGTCTGCTGCAGTTTCCACGGTATACATCTGATGAAGTGAGCTGTAGCTCACGAAAGCTCATGCTCAAATAAATTGGTTAGTCTCTAAGGTGCCACAAGTACTCCTTTTCTTTTTGCGAATACAGACTAACACGGCTGTTCCTCTGAAACCTGTCATTATGCAAGGCACTGCATTTAGCCGTATGGAGTGGAAATCTATCAACTGCATGAAAAAACTTGTACAGATACAGACAGACATCATCTTCCTTTCCAAATGCAAACAGATGGACATCGTACCAAAAGGACTGAAGGTAAAAAATCCATTACAATCTACATACCACACAGACTATGCTGACAGCTTGTGCCTCACGCTCCCAAAGAAACTGCGGAATCACATCCTCTACAGCAAACAGGGAAAGATTAAGAATGAGCTCTCAAAAATGGATACTCTCATAAAGAACCAACCTTCCACACAAACTTCCTCGTGGCTGGATTTTACTAAAACTAGACAAGCCATTTACAACGCACACTTTGCTTCTCTACAAAAGAAAAAGGACACTAAACTTTCTAAACTACTACATGCTACAAGGGGCCACAGCAATGGTTCCCTCACCCCACCTAGCAATATTGTTAACCTATCCAACTATACTCTCAGCCCAGCAGAAGCAGCTGTTCTATCTCGGGGCCTCTCCTTCTGCCCCTCCACCCCCACGAACATGATACAGTTCTGTGGTGACCTAGAATCCTATTTTCGACGTCTCCGTCTCAAGGAATATTTCCAAAATACCTCTGAACAACATACTAATCCACAGAGGTCTCCCTGCCAACACTACAGAAAGAGGGATTCTAGATGGACTCCTCCTGAAGGTCGAAACAGCAGACTGGACTTCTACATAGAGTGCTTCCGCCGACGTGCACGGGCTGAAATTGTGGAAAAGCAGCATCACTTGCCCCATAACCTCAGCCATGCGGAACGCAATGCCATCCACAGCCTCAGAAACAACTCTGACATCATAATCAAAAAGGCTGACAAAGGAGGTGCTGTTGTCATCATGAATAGGTCGGAATATGAACAAGAGGCTGCTCGGCAGCTCTTAAACACGAGTTTCTACAAGCCATTACCCTATGATCCCACTGAGAGTTACCAAAAGCAACTACAGCATTTGCTCAAGAAACTTCCTGAAAAAGCACAAGATCAAATCCGCACAGACACACCCCTGGAACCCCGACCTGGGATATTCTATCTACTACCCAAGATCCATAAACCTGGAAATCCTGGGCGCCCCATCATCTCAGGCATTGGCACCCTGACAGCAGGATTGTCTGGCTATGTAGACTCCCTCCTCAGGCCCTACGCTACCAGCACTCCCAGCTACCTTCGAGACACCACTGACTTCCTGAGGAAACTTCAATCCATCGGTGATCTTCCTGATAACACCATCCTGGCTACTATGGATGTAGAAGCCCTCTACACCAACATTCCACACAAAGATGGATTACAAGCCGTCAAGAACACTATCCCCGATAATGTCACGGCTAACCTGGTGGCTGAACTTTGTGACTTTGTCCTTACCCATAACTATTTCACATTTGGGGACAATGTATACCTTCAGATCAGCGGCACTGCTATGGGTACCCGCATGGCCCCACAGTATGCCAACATTTTTATGGCTGATTTAGAACAACGCTTCCTCAGCTCTCGTCCCCTAAAGCCCCTACTCTACTTGCGCTATAAAGGATGACCCAACACTCTCACAAGTCTTGGGAGACAGGCCAGTCCTTGCCTACAGACAGCCCCGCAACCTGAAGCAAATACTCACCAACAACCACATACCACACAACAGAACCACTAACCCAGGAACTTATCCTTGCAACAAAGCCCGTTGCCAATTGTGCCCACATATCTATTCAGGGGACACCATCACAGGGCCTAATAACATCAGCCACGCTATCAGAGGCTCGTTCACCTGCACATCCACCAATGTGATATATGCCATCATGTGCCAGCAATGCCCCTCTGCCATGTACATTGGTCAAACTGGACAGTCTCTACGTAAAAGAATAAATGGACACAAATCAGATGTCAAGAATTATAACATTCATAAACCAGTCGGAGAACACTTCAATCTCTCTGGTCACGCAATCACAGACATGAAGGTCGCTATCTTAAAACAAAAAAACTTCAAATCCAGACTCCAGCGAGAAACTGCTGAATTGGAATTCATTTGCAAATTGGATACTATTAATTTAGGCTTAAATAGAGACTGGGAGTGGCTAAGTCATTATGCAAGGTAGCCTGTTTCCTCTTGTTTTTTCCCTCCCCCCCCCCCCCCAGATGTTCTGGTTTAACTTGGATTTAAACTTGGAGAGTGGTCAGTTTAGATGAGCTATTACCAGCAGGAGAGTGAGTTTGTGTGTGTATGGGGGTGGGGGGGATGTGAGAAAACCTGGATCTATGCAGGAAATAGCCCGACTTGATTATGTAAAGAGTTGTCACTTTGGATGGGCTAGCACCAGCAGGAGAGTGAATTTGTGTGGGGGGGTGGAGGGTGAGAAAACCTGGATTTGTGCTGGAAATGGCCCACCTGTTGATCACTTTAGATAAGCTATTACCAGCAGGACAGTGGGGTGGGAGGAGGTATTGTTTCATATTCTCTGTGTGTATATAAAGTCTGCTGCAGTTTCCACGGTATACATCTGATGAAGTGAGCTGTAGCTCACGAAAGCTCATGCTCAAATAAATTGGTTAGTCTCTAAGGTGCCACAAGAACTCCTTTTCTTATTGTAAGGAGAGTGATCACTTTAGATAAGCTATTACCAGCAGGAGAGTGGGGTAGGGGGAGAGAAAACCTTTTGTAGTGGTAAACACCCATTTTTTCATGCTTTGTGTGTATAAAAAGATCTTCTATACTTTCCACAGTATGCATCCGATGAAGTGAGCTGTAGCTCACGAAAGCTTATGCTCAAATAAATTGGTTAGCCTCTAAAGTGCCACAAGTACTCCTTTACTTGTTAAAATATTGGCAGCACATCACTGGCTCCTAATCTAAAAAAAATGAGGATCACTACTCTGCCTTCGGATGTAACTAGGAGATAAACACTGCTTTCTGATTGACAATTTCTCTAGGAAAAAAATGCATATACCAAGAGGAAAGCCTCTCTGACAAGTTCTATACCTAAACTGCTCACAGCCTTCCTGAAAATCAGGAGTGAAACTTAAAAGAAGCTCACTGAGTCACTCTTGTTACTGCCCTCATGACCCTATCTTTCCTCTCAGCCACTGATTCACTCCTCTGACTATTAAGCATCTGCTAAGCAATTGAAACTCTGCTTTAAAAGTATGTTATTTTCACAAGAGTATTAGTTTTCTTACCTTGTTATCCAAGGCATCCGAACTTCCCTCCTTTTGCTTAGACTTCTTGGATTTCTTTTTGGACATCTCAAATTCCTAAAGAAAGTAATGTTAATCAATATTATTTCAAAATTATCTTTCCACTTCTTGCCAAATACATGTAATTTAATCTTTAGCAGCTGCATCAAATGTGATTGTGGGGAGAAAAATACTTTAGACTTAACTTTCCTCTCCCTGAATTCATCCTCATGAGTTCTCATTTTTTTCCTATTTACACTTAACAGAACAATAAAAGCAGACCTCTAGTAGAGCTGGATTCTAAGATCTCACTTTAACACTAGAGAAATACGGGGGAGGGGGGCAAGAGAAACAAAAAAAACACCTACCACAACACACGCTTCTCTCTGGGGGGAGAGAGCGCAAATGACGAGATAACTGGCTCTGTGGATGAGGGGAAAGCGGTGGTGGACGTGTTGTTCCTTGACTTTAGCAAAGCTTTTGACACAGTCTCCCACAGTATTCTTGCCAGCAAGTTAAAGAAGTATGGGCTAGATGGACGGACTATAAGGTGGATAGAAAGTTGGCTAGATTGTCGGGTATCAAGTGGAGTGCCCCAAAGGTCGGTCCTCAGGCCAGTTTTGTTCTTTATCTTCATAAATGATCTGGAGGATGGTGTGGATTGCACCCTCAGCAAGTTTGCAAATGACACTAAACTGGGAGGAGTGGTAGATACACTGGAGGGTAGGGATAGGATACAGAGGGCCCTAGACAAATTAGAGGATTGGGCCAAAAGAAATCCGATGAGGTTCAACAAGGACAAGTGCAGAGTCCTGCACTTAGGATGGAAGAAACCCATGCACTGCTAAAGACTAGGGACCGAATGGCTTGGCAGCAGTTCTGCAGAAAAGGACCTAGGGGTTACAGTGGATGAGAAGCTGGATATGAGTCAACAGTGTGCCCTTGTTGCCAAGAAGGCCAATGGCATTTTGGGATGTGTATATATAGGGGCATTGCCAGCAGATCGAGGGATGTGATCATTCCCCTCTATTCGACATTGGTGAGGCCTCATCTGGAGTACCGTGTCCAGTTTTGGGCCCCACACTACAAGAAGGATGTGGAAAAATTGGAGAATGTCCAGTGGAGGGCAACAAAAATGATTAGGGGACTGGAACACATGACTAATGAGGAGAGGCTGATGAGGGAACTGGGGTTTTTTAATCTGCGGAAGAGAAGAATGAGGGGGGATTTGATAGCTGCTTTCAACTACCTGAAAGGGGGTTCCAAAGAGGATGGATCTAGACTGTTCTCAGTGATAGCAGACGACAGAAACAAGGAGTAATGGTCTCAAGTTGCAGTGGGGGAGGTTTAGGTTGGATATTAGGAAAAAAAATTTCACTAGGAGGGTGGTGAAACACTGGAATGCGTTACCTAGGGAGGTGGTGGAATCTCCTTCCTTAGATATTTTTAAGGCCAGGCTCGACAAAGCCCTGGCTGGGATGATTTAGTTGGGGATTGGTCCTGCTTTGAGCAGGGGGTTGGACTAGATGACCTCCTGAGGTCCCTTCCAACCCTGATATTCTATGATTCTATGAAATGACATGAAAGATGTTAGACAAATTATTAATGCATTATTGGAAGGCACTCTGGTACTATGGTGATGAGCATGGTATAACAAAGTAAAAAAGAGCTTCCCTATCTTCAATTACACAAATACCTTGTTCTTGTGAACATTTCACAAGTTTGTGGAGCTGGACCTCCATTTTTCTTCTCTCCTTTTATCTGTTGCTGCCTTATGAACTTATTGCAAAGAAGAAAATTATCACTGTTGAGCTGTGTAGCTGTGAAATCACTATTTTATTCCCCTCCTAATTTCTTCTCCATTCCACTCTTCCAGTGGAATCTTGTAGGACTGCATTAAAGCTACATCCCTGAAGTATGCACAGAGAGAGGGACCAACTGATCCTAGAAGACTGATCTTTTTGAATGCAGCAAGCATGAAGCACGGGCTGTGAGAGGTGGCCAAGTTGCCCAGAAAAACCTTTGATCCAGGACCCCATCCCTAAGCATACGGGGGGGGGGGGGGTTGCTATCTTAGGTAGGGGAAGAATGCATGGGGAAAAAAAAAATCCAGTGGAAGTAGAAGCTCCTTGCACCCAGCAACCCAAACTGCACAATCTGGCATTTAGTTGGAATAGTGGTAGAACTAGTTTCAAAGATCAAGGACTTTTCAGACCCCTCCCCACTAGGAAAAAAGAAAAATTAAGAAAAGGGACATTTTCAGGTAAGGTAGGCCTAAAAAGTTTGATTTCAGGATGGGTGGGAAACTGTTGTTTGTAATGTTAATAAAAACATTTTCATTAATTTTAAAAGAATTTTTGATCATAAAACATTTTTCGTTTAGATTTAAAGTTCCCCTAAAATATTAGTGAACCAAATATGAGAGAAAGCTTTGGTGCACAAGAACTGAAATGTGCAACTGATTTGTATTAGTTTCATCATCATATATAACTTAAAAGAAAAATGCAAACCAAAATTAAATCAGAAAAAGCAAATTAAATTTTTAACTCCGATAAACTCAGGTGTTCTTAAAAAGACACATAATGACGTTTTTCTAACAACAGTCTAACTCAATTTATTTATTTGGCCTATGCAATCCAGTCAAGCCAAGCCACAGCATTCTTATCAGCAATGTTCAAGGCACAAAGACCATCAAAAAGTTGAGTTATTTTGTAGTCCTCAACAACATGCATCATGGTTTGTGGCTGCCCACGCTGATATAGCAGACTGTTTCTAAAACACCACTAAATTCTGCTGCAGCACAAGTTCCATGTCCAGTACAAAACCAGCTAAGAAAGCTCCACTGCCTTTGTGGTAAATAAAACACAGGTTGATGCTGAGTGGAGTCCGAGACAAGATAATTATTTGTCAGTCTGTCTGCGGACCATGAAGCTTGCCACGTGTCTTCGACTGTAAATCCCTCACCCGGTAAACTTATCCGCAATGGGTGCTGTGAGGGCAGATGATCATGTGGTGGATTAAACAAGTCTTTAATTAATGGTAGATGTGGCATATCACACAATTTTGTTATGAGCTTTGCTACACTTTCCACTCTATGAACAGTGAGTGGAGCAATATTGCAGAGAACTGGTAACTATAGTAGAGGAGTAGATTTAAGTGTGCCTGAAATAATATGCTGTATGTAATGTTGATCATCCTTGTATGAGACAAGTAAGCCCAATAAAGTCATATCACGGAATCATAGAATTTAAGGCCAGAAGGCATCACTAGATCATCTAGTGTCACCTGTCTATCACAGGCCACTAACACCACCCAGCAACCCAAATCACACCAAAGTATTACAATCCTCAGCAGACCAAGCCTCTGGATGCCACAGGTAAAGAACTGCAGGACCAAGGTACACCAATGCCCCTGTGATGACAGGGAAATGATTCCAGACGATCCGGGCAAGCAATCTACACCCCATGCTACAGAAGAAGGCAAGCCCCCGCCCCCTACTCCATGGTCATTACCTATCTGACCTAGAGGAAAATTCCTACTCAGCGCCACATATGGTGCTCAGTTAGACCCCAAGCATGTGGGCAAGAACCAGCCTGTCTAACACTTTCAGGCTTATTATTATTATCACCATAGAGCCTAGGAGCCCTATTCATGGACCAGTACCCATTGTCATAGGCACTGTTCAAACACAGAACAAAAGATGGTCTCTGTCCCAAATAGCATACAATCTAAGTAAGAGACAACAGCTGGAAAAAGGCAGATCGATGGGAGAGTACAAGTAAATAATGAGACAATATTGGTCAAGTTGTGTTTGTTTGTTTGTTTGTAGGCATCACGGCAAAGAAGTTTTAAGGAGGGTTTTGAAGGAGCATATGGATGTTTACAGGCAGCTCTTCTCAAGCATGAAGCTCAGCACGGGATACAGCACAAAGCTGATTGTTTTAAGAGTGAACAAATGGGCGATGGAGGCTGGCCTTCGAAGAAACGCCACCTGGAATGGGTGCGTCAGGTCCGTCAGTACTTACTATCCAAGAGCTATTCAGTAGGGTGACTAATCGCTGTCAGGACAGAAACTGAGAACTTACCTAAACCCCTTTGCACCTCGCAGGTCAGTATCCTTGTTCCTAGTGCACCTACGATCGTGGCACCCACGCCAAAGAAGGGGAAGCAGAGAGAACTCCAGCCCGAGAACAGCTCGTTGCCGCCCCCCGCCCGCAGCAGCTCCAGCTGCTCCCCAGCCCCACCCACCCCCTATGTTTACAGCAGCAGCAGCGGGGGCGGGATACCTCACAGACCCCGCGGGCAGCCTCCCTGCCACCCCGAGGAAATGCCCCATCCAGCCCCAGAGAACCACACGGCCCCTATCCCTCAGAGGAGGGGCAGCCAGCCGCTCGCCCCCCGAGCAAGCGAGCGAGCCTCTCTCCCAGCCAGCCCAAGGCAGAGGCTGGGGAACACAGACATCCCCGCAAACACAGCCCGGAGCTCTACTCACTGTGACGCCGTCTAGCCAAGGCCCAACGCAGACCTCATCGCACTGGCATTCTGGGCAGCGTAGTTTTCTCACTGCGTCTTTTGGCCGCTGGAGTCATTTGAACGTCACGCTCCCTGCCACGGGAGGGCAGTTGTTTGCTTTGGTCCCGGTGTATTCTGGGTAGTGTAGTTTTTTGCAGATATGCATCTCAGGAAGCGTAGTTTTTATTGGCGGGGCCCGAACAACGGCAGCCCGCCCCCTTGCGGCGAGTCGGCGCGGCCGTCTGCCCAGTGAGAGGAAGCGAGCAGGGAACAGCGCCCTCTCCCCTTCCCTGCGGTCAGGAGAGGCGCTTGCGGCTTCTGCTCGCGCTCCGCTCGCCAGCCCAGTAGTTCCGTGCTGTGTGTGGGGAAGATGGCGGCTGAGGAGGCTGTAGTGGCAGCGCTGGCCCGGCTGCCCCCCGAACAGGAGGAGCAGGAGGAGGAGGAGGCGGCTGGAGAGATCAGTAAGGGAGCGGCTGTGGGTGGGTGCGTGGGGAGGGCAGCCTGCGGTCTGGGGACAGAGCTGTGGAAGAAAGACACCCCCCCGGGCCATAGGGGCTGAGCTGAGGGGGGCGGGCGGGGGGCTGGGCGCCGGGGTGCCATAGCAGCAGCATCCCCACCAAGCCCGGGCATGGGAGTCAGGACTCCTGGGTCCTGCTGCTTCCCCGGCTGCCGGGAAGATACTGCCACCTGCGAGCCGGGCCGGCTCATGGTGGTGAAACGCCTTGAGCGGATGGCGCTAGGGAAACGCAACGCCTCAGCCGCCTCTGGTAGGTGGATAACCTGTGTTATTCCTACACTGCCAGTTCTCTCCTGCCTCTGGGACACTACTGGAGCCCATTGATGGAGCTGCCTCCTGCTCACAATCTCAGGGGTGTGATGCCCCGTCCTGGGGCGGAATTTCAGATGGGGGGGCAACTTTAACCATGATTCTGGGGTGAGTTAGGCACCTGAAAACTGTAGGTGTTTTGCAGATAATAACTTAGAAATTAGCTGGCAGGAGCATTGTATCTAATTCCTATGTAAAGAAGGAAAATTAAATAAATATTATACTCATTCAGCTGTAGTAGTAACATGTTCTGACATCTTCTGTCAAGTCACTTAAGAGACACTGGTTAGGTTCAAAATATTAATGTACGGTATATTCTTACCTTATTATTAACTCTTGAATACAACAGTTGAAAGAGTTGTAGAAAAATCTAGATTCCTTTCTGCCATTTAGACTTCTTACTCTTTGCAGTTCACCAAGCTTGGAATAGGTCATTTAACTTTTGAAAACATCCTACTAGGGCAAGGCTCTGTGAGTTTATACTGCAACTGCCTGGGGCTCTAAGGGTGTTACCATACCACAAATAATAGACTAGAAACTTACCTTAAACAAGAGTGAAACTGACACTTTCAGGTCTTTTTCACAGTATTGTCAAACCCTAATGTTCAAAAATTATGAGATTGGCTTAAAAATCATGAGAGTATGTAAAAATAATAGATTTGGTGTTCTTTTTGTTAGTCTTTGGCTTTTGCACCCTCAAGGGTGCACTGGGGTCACATTTTGAAGCTATCTCCACAGCCACGAGGGCTAGAAACTTACTTTTTCTTTATGAATGAAGGCTGAAATCATCACATATCCTTTGACTCCAGGAGCTGGGGTTTCAAGGAAAACAAGGACAAAATCATGAGAGCTGGCAACACTGCTTTCACTTCTGTCTAAAGGCTCGTTACTTTTAAAAAGGCTCTTAAACACAACACTACAATGATTGAGTTGCAGTTCTCACAGGAGAATTTTTAAAACTAAACACTAAGAAAATTCCACATTTTAAAGTTGAGGGTGGAAAATTAGTCTTCTGAGTTATATCAGGGTCACTGCAGGCAGGAAAGGAAAATAAACAGACACAGGAGTTCTTTCTCTTGAAAAAATATTGGTGGGTCAAACCTTCCAGTTCTTAATCAGGGAAAACTTTTATTGCCATCAGTGCCTCCACTCACAGATATTAACATTACACAATGAACATGTGATAACATGTGGTCAATAACTATACACTTCATACCTAAATATCTGAGCCATCTTATCCAGAATTATACATCTTATATGCATTGGCTCAGGGACTACACTTTCTGCCATAGTCTGAGCAGTGCTGAACACAGATAGTGCCCAGTGAATTATACAAATAATGACAATAATCGTCTACTTTATGGACTCTGTGGCTGCAATTTCTGTGTTCTTTGTCCTGCAGTTGGCCTGAATACAGCTGAAACCCTAAGCATTTGAGGCATAAGCATATCCGATACTCATGTGACACTTACTCTTTCCTTTCCTTTTCTCAAACTCAGAACAAAAAATGACAAAACAAAATGGTTTTCAGTTAAAATGTAAGATTTCACAGCAGCTATTGCTCTACAACCCAGCCTGGGGCAGAACCTGCCACCCTCTCAGGGTTAAGTGTTCTCCTCTCATCTGAATATAAGAACGGCCATACTGGGTCAGACCAAAGGTCCATCTAACCTACTTTTCTGTCTTCTGACAGTGGCTAATGCCAGGTGCCCCAGAGGGAATGAACAGAATAGGTAATCATCAAGTGATCCATTCCCTGTCGCTCATTCCCAGGTTCTGGCAAACAGAGGCTAGGGACACCATCCCTGCCTGTCCTGGCTAATAGTCATTGATGGACCTATCCTCCATGAATTTATCTAGTTCTTTTTTAAACCCTGTTATAATCTTGGCCTTCACAACATCCTCTGGCAAAGAGTTCCACAGGTTGTCTGTGCATTGTGTGAAGAAATACTTCCTTTTGTTTGTTTTTAAGCCTGCTTCCTATTAATTTCACGTGGTGACCCCTAGTTCTTGTGTTATGAGAAGGAGTAAATAACACTTCCTTATTTTCTTTCTCCACACCAGTCATGATTTTATAGACCTCTATCATATCCCCCTAAGTTGTCTCTTTTCCAAGCTGAAAAGTCCCAATCTTATTAATCACTCCCCATACGGAAGCTGTTCTATACCCCTAATCATTTTTGTTGGCCTGACTCTTGTTCTCTTTCTTCATCCTTCCTGACCTCTGTGCTGCTTCTGATGCTGTCAACCATGACATCCTTCCCAATAGCCTGGGACCATTTGCTGGACGGTCAGAGAGCTAGCCTTCTTGGTTTTGCTCTCATCTAGCCGACAATCCGAGTCTCTTTTTTTCCCCCCTTCCCAGCATTCAGCAGAGAGAGAGGCTGGTCCAGTGGATAGGGAGCTAGCCCTGAGAGACCTGCGTTCTACTTCCCTGTGGATTTCCTGTCTGACTCAGGCCAGTGCCTTAGGGACAGAGTTTCAAAGGTCTTGAGGCACCCAAAGATGCAGGTTAGGTTTACAAAGCACCACTTTTGAAAAAAGCACTAGGTGCCTAAATACCTTTGAAAATCTGACCCTTAATCTCTCTGTGCCTCAATGCCCCATCTGTACAACGGGAATAACAGCACTGCTCTACCTCACAAAGAGTATGTGAGGAGAAATAGGTTAGACATTGTGAGATGCTCAGATCCTATGGTGATGGGGCCACATAATTACCACAAGTAGGGTGGGAACTTCTCTAAATCACTGCTGTCTCTTCGCTTGGTTTTGACCCCTTCTTTTCACCTATCCCCCTCACATCTCCCTCTTTTCTGAACGTAACCTTGGCTCAGACTTCTGAGCCTCCTGTGTTCTCTCTTCAACACCATTCTCCTCCCCCCCCACCTCCACACACACAGAGGGAATCCTGTTTTCAGGCTCATCTCATGCCTTCCAGATCCTTAATTTAAATTACCAGCACTTTCTTATCTTAATTCCCCCTGCCTCTGTTTATAAACAAAATACGACTCCCTGCCCCAAGGGAACAAACTGGGAGCAGCACTTCTCTTCTGCAGAACTCACATTCCACATTCAGGCTGTGCTGCAGTTAAGAGCTCTGCCTGGGGCTAGGATGTGCACTGTGAGCAGCCCTGTACAAAACTCAGGGGCGAGGCAGGAGACCTCCTCCTTTCCTCCCTAAATGGTGCTGTGAATACTGTGTCAGAATATTCCCAACAGACAGGGATGCTTTTGCTGTACTACTCAGTATAAAGCTCTGGAGAGCAAGTTTGAATGGACCCTGCCATTCAGAATAGCCCTGTCCTTTGTGAGGAGGTAACATCCGTCATGTATTTGAGTACTTTGTCTTTTTACACTGGTCAAAAAGGCATTTAAACTAACTGGAACGCTTTGAGCTTACAACACCAGTTTACCTTGCATCTGTTACACGCACTAACCTTTCCAGTTGCTGGTGGTAGTTGGTTGGAACACGTGTGACAAGAGGCCAAACTTTCTGTTGCCCTGAATCATTGGTTGCAAGGCCAACAGTGTGATCATCAACAGTGTGATGATCTGACCTCCAGTACAACATAGGCCATTGGACTTTCCCAAAATAATTTCTAGAGCAGATCTCTTAGACAATCATGCAATCTTCATTTAAAAATCACCAGTAATGGAAAATCCACCAAGACTTTTGTAAATTGTTCCAATAGTTAATTGCCCTCACTGTTAACATTTTACACATGATGTCCAATCTGAATTATTTAACTTCAACTTCCAGCCATTGGATCATGTTATACCTTTCTCTGCTAGACTGAAGAGCTCATTATCAAAGGCCTTTTCTACACTGGCAAGTTTCTGCACTGTAAAGCAGCTTTCTGCGCTGTAACTCCCAAGATGTACACATTGCCAAGCCACTTAGTGCGTAGAAACTGCGCAGTTGTAGCACTTTAAAAAAAAAAATCACCCCAAGAAGAGGCATACAGCTTTCTGCGCTGGGGCGCCAGTGTAGACACTGTGGTGGTTACAGCACTGCGGGAGGTGTCCCAAAATGCCTGTTCTCACCTCTTGTCATCAGTTTGAACCTGCCCTCTGGTGACCAACCATCATCCCCACCCAAAATTCCTTTGGAAATTTGAAAGTCCCCTTCCTGTTTGCTGGTGATGTGTGCAGTGGTCTCAGCGCATCTTTCCAGGTGGCCATGCCTGCTCCACGCACCAGGCGATCGCACTCTTGGAGCAATGCCGAGCTGCTGGACCTCATCAGCATTTGGGGAGAGGAGGCTCTCCAGTCCCAACTGAGCTCCAGACGTAGGAATTATGACACCTACCGACAGATTTCACAGTGCATGACAGAAAGGGGCCATGACTGGGACACATTGCAGTGCAGGGTCAAAGTGAAGGAGCTGCGGAACGCTTACAAGAAGGCATGAGAGGCAAACCGCCGCTCCGGGGCTGGGCCCACGAGCTGTTGGTTCTACAAAGAGCTGGACGCGATACTTGGCAGCAACCCCATGTTAATTGCAAAGACCACTGTGGATACTTCATTGGCTCACATGCCAGTCAAGAGTGGACTGAGCCAGGAGGAGGAAATCTTGGATGAGGACGTGGATGGGGAAGGGGACCCAGAGGCAGAGGATGACTCGGAGGTCAGAGA